GGGCTTGAAGCCCTGGTACCGCCGAATGAGATGGGCGTGCTCTGCCGCACGTTCACATTCCGAGCACCACAGGCGCATGGACTCGCTGCGCAAGACGGGCTCCGTAAACTGTCGTCACCAAGTTCCCATTTTGCAAGCATCGTGCCCTGGAACCAGGGACTGCGGAGTCCGGCCTTTAAGCGGTCGCATCGCGTTTTCGGGTTGTCGCCCGCATTTCTGCATATTTCTGCATGGAAATCCGCTAGCATTGTGCATGGAGCTGTCCCCTTGGATGACGTGATGTCAAGCAACGCCCCATGCTCGAGCAGCAACTTGACCATCTCTGTATGGCTCTTCCGAATAACGTGGAAAAGTACCGTCTCATTCCACATATCTCGGAAGTTGATCTCGAATCCTGCTGATGCTGCATAGAAGACAGAAGGGCGTGTTGACCTGTGCTAGGCCAACTCCCTTCCGAACACACATCCTTGCCAACTGCCCTGCTCCACGTTCACTCCGAGCTGCGCAGAAAAAACATGAAAGTCTGGCTCAAAAGACTGTAGCGCCAACACAGTTGGCATGTCTGTCATTTTGTGGAGCTGCGCGTCGGAGATTATGCGGAAGCCACCAAGTGTTGGACCTGCATGGCTTTCACATAATCACTTTCGCGCAGCTGCACAAGATCTTGATTGCGATTGACGGACGTCTTTTATACAGATCTTGAGCCCGAGCATGTTTCGTGTCCGAGGTCAACCAAAGCTAGTTCAGAGCCCCGGGCTACATGTGAGCTCCCCCAAAGCAACGTGCTTTTGGCTGGCTCCCGTTACTGGAATCAATAGCAACGCGGTGGCCCTGTAGAACTAATTAGCAAGCTGCGCCACAGGCGCGAGCAATCAAGGTTCATGCTCGTATCAGGGCTTAGGGCTGTTGTGGGTGAGTGAAGGGCCCGGTGGGTAGTCGTGAGCTTCTCCTCGTCAATTGCAAGGCCATTGCTCCCGCAGTAGTGTTTACCGCCCTCGCACGATCCTGGAACGAGTGACATACTACATAGTGGTCGCTTCACATCTCCTTACTCATTCCGTTGTGTTCACGGGGCAAAGTGCCGCATGCTCGGTGTAAGCGGGTCCCTAGCTGCAGTCTCTGGAAACAACAGCACTTCTAGTGCGCCTTCATGAGCTCTGCCCCGTGGGCACTGCAGCCTTGCCTGTAGGAGATGCAGCGCAACTTCCTGTATGCTCCTGCAAGGCTTGACACTTGAGAACCTCAGAACTCTCAGAACTACTGCAGCGGCTTGTGCAGCCACCCTTGCCGAAGAGACAGGCCTTGCCTTGCAGGTCTTTCGTCCGAAAATGCATGTGAACTTCTCGCTGCATTTCTCGCACGCCCTTCTCGGCAAGAATAACCTCATAACACAGGACATACATGCGCTACATGCCGGTGACTGTGGCATGTGTGAGCAACGGCAATATGCGCAAGCAGGTGGTCATGTAACGAATGAGTAGCTATTCTTTGACGCCGGGGACAACAGCGTGCGGCAGCTGCCTGTTCTTTGATGCTGACGGCTTCTAGCCTCGTCTGGAAGTCCAGAACAGAAAACATGTCATAAGACTGCCTTCGGCCTATTTCTATCCTGCTCTCCCAGAACATCGCATTTGGATCATTAAGTCCCACAGGCAGCCCCCAAAGTCAATTTGTAAAGGAGGCCAGCCGGGGAGTCATCTGCATAAGGAGTGGAGCCTGTTCCAAGATTGCAGCTCTACTTGTTGTTAAGATGGCAAAAACGCACACCAAGCAATAAATAATCCAGAGGCTCCCCAAGAGGTAAAACCAAAACTGCAGCTTCGTTGCAGTTCCTCGAGAAGGAAAAGTGTCTTGTCCTGAGCAAGGCGGCAATATGCTACATCTCAATAGTGCTGCATCACCAAAAATCTGAAAGCAACTGAAGCCTCTGCTCCATGCGAGTTCTGTGGAACAACTGAGGCTAAGACGCCCCAGCCGAGAATCAGCCAGTGGCCTTGAGCATCGATTTTGCTGTATTTGTCTTTCCAGTAAACCAGCAGGGATCGGATAAGCTCCACAACCTGATTGACTACTCGAGTTCACTCGTGAACTGGCAGCTGAAATACATGTGCAGGAACACCATCTAAGAACTGGACCATGCCCATAAATGTCAGCCAATACCTGTTGCCACTGTGCATGCTCGTGGTCTGACCGTTTGCTTGCATTATTCTAGTTCTCAACTTCCCACATGCGGCAGACCAAGCCCGAGAGCATCACCCGCCAGCCCGGCAGCTTTGTCTACAATGTCTCTCTCTTCGATGCGCTTCAACTTAAGAATCACACGTTTAATTGGAATACAAGCCCAAATTGAGTGCAACTTACCTGCAAATTGACGAGCATTTGGATCTGATCCACTGTGGTTGAACCCCAGATGTTATGTAATTTCACTTGAGCCTGGCTTGATGATGGATACTTGCATCATATCAAAATGGAACTCGTTGTCGAACAAAGCTGATAACCTTATGTAAGTTTACCCGGATGGTCATTGGATCTTTTAAAGTTTCTACAGCAAATTGAATACACAAACTTCTTAAATAAAACGCCTCAAGTCTCTTGAGTTCTGTTTCAACTCAGTTTCGAGCATCATTCAAATTAAACAGCATGCAAGCTTGAAAAACAGCGAAGCAACACAATGATTTGCTTAGTGAGTCAGCTCAGTCTTGTCTTGGGTTCTTCTTGAGACTCAATTGGCTCCTATGCATGGATTGCAAATGCGCATCTTAATTCAGCGCCCAGGGTCTAATCAACATTTGAAATTTAGGAGATGCGGTGTGGGGAGGTTGGCTTGTTTGACCACAAATTTGGAGAGACGGCTTGCCATAGTCCCGCCAAACCGTAAGCAAGCCATCTATCGGCATAACCCTCCTTTTGAGTATTTGTGTCATGATCCCCTGACACTCTGCGATTCATCCCAAGTGATGCAAACAGCTGCAGTTAAGCGACACGAAGCCGGCCATCGAAATGACCACTGCCACTCCTCTGACTACGCCACGCTCCTTACAGTTTCCACATCCTGTAGGCTAGCGCTAGCGCCGACCTCCAGACTCCAATCACAAAGAAGAGGCACGCCCATGCTGTGACAAGCAAGAGTCGTTGGATGAAAGACCAGTCTGCGTGCCAATGTCCACGAGCAGTATGTAAGAAATCCTGGAGTTGCGTGCTTCGGAAAGGATGGATATGGAGTGCTGCAGCATGCCAATTGCACAAAGCCAGCAGCCAACAGTGACACCACCGCCAGCTTTCAGCACTGCACCTACTACCGCCACGCGTGATGAAACATGCCTCAACTGTGCAATGGTAGACCTTGTCAGTGTTGCTCTGAAACATATACTGATTACTCGTCTGCCTGACTCAGATGGCACGCAGCAGATTGATCCCCCAATGCTTGTCCGAGTGTCCACAGGCTTTCGAAAAATCCCGTCCCATACTCAGAATTTCCACCGGACGCGACCCAGGCCAGCATGCTCAGAATCTGGAGACCTCAGAACAAGGGCAGCTGGGAGGTTGAAACTAGCCCCACTCGTGGAGAACGGGCACTGCGAAGCCTCTAGACTACGGACTATGGAAACGTCTCGTTGATGCAAAAGCGGCCCTGAGATTTGATGTGTGATGGCTGCAATGCCAAACCACAAAGTAAAGTAAATCCATCACACGACGCCCACTTCTATTACATGATCTGCGAGATTGCAAGTAGCATTTGCAAGAAGTCCTTGTCGCGTAACAACCAACCAAGTGGTCTGTACAACTCAGAATCATAGGATATAGAAGACAATGCCGCACAAAAATCTCTAGGGGTCCCGGCATCTCTCTTACATGACATTTGAGCTTTGCAGCGTTTTCATTACTGTCGCAGGGGGTTTAGCAAAAAAAACATGTTTTCACAGCGTAAAATCATGACTTGGACAAGAGGCAAACTCCCACCAACAGCAACATGAGCCAATGCCCGGACCTGAGCTGTTGGGAGGTTCAATATGGAAATGCCCTTGGGGTCAAGTCAAGAATTGGCCAAAAGGTCCATTGCTCCACAAAGACTTCTTCAGAGGCACGTGGTTCCGAGGAGGCGCGAACGAAGCCCAGTCTGTCGCACAACTTCTGATCCCGTTCGTCGAGTCTGCCGCAAGACTTCGGTCGGGCGCTTCAGGCGCTTGCCGCAGCAGCAGCAGCAGCAGCATGAGCAAAGCATCTTCATGTGCCATGGCATGCGAATTGCACTTCCCGGTCTTTGCCGCGGGCACAGGTCACAAGTTCTCAGTATCCTACATCCAGTTTGCTTGTTTGGCCTGGCATACGGGTTGCTCCAACGTACTGGTCTTGGCAACGCCAGAGAGATAGAAGTGTCAAGAGATTACAGGGTCACCCTAAGGACCCTGTACGGGCAATTTTAGAAACTTCCACATTCATAACGAACACATGTCAGCCAACTGTTGGTTTATTAAGCTTCCTACAAACCTAAAATCTCCCACTGAGGAGCCATGATTGCATGCATGGCTTGACTGCTTCCTGGCATTTGTTGCGCACTGTGTATGTTACACCCCTGAGAGGGTCACTGTAGCGCATTTGGCGAAAAAAAGGTTGGCTTCTTCTACTTGTTTAGCTTCCACATGCCGTCTAGACCACACCTTGAAAACAGCTGCTCCACGGGCTTCATTTGCTCTAGAAAATCTTGAGTCCGAGCATGTTTCATGGTCCAAGCTAACAGCTTATCCGGTTAGTCGGCAGGGCGTTTGACAGGAAAACATCATGATGGTGCAGAATGCACATCCTCAGCGCGATTGAATTTTCAAAGCGATGTGGCCCCAGGTCTACTGCCGCGGATGCAAACCACATCCGAGCCACCTGTGCGAAGATCTTGCGCAGCAGGATTCTCTACCCGAATTTAGGGCAGCTGTGTGTAGAGTCCTTCTTGGTCTCTCAGCGCTGTCACGAGCGTGGCTTTCAAAGATCTCCCGTGTTCAAGAGATCTACTTGTTCTGCGGCGAGACTTGTGGTGTCCGAAAATACCTCAGGTCAAAAATTAGAATAATTAAGTATCTGCTGGTAGGGAGGCTTGGATAGAGTCTGTCAACTCTTTGCACGAGAAAAGCGCAAGCACGTTTCCAAACCGCAGGGTCGATGTGCTCACGGACTGATGCTACACGGAAGCGGACAGCGCGCTCGCTCTTTCGACCCTTCACTTTGGGCACCAACTGTTTCCTAATCAGCCACTCAACTGCAGACACAGTTGCTGGGGAGGACAACATGCTACAAATACATCCATCTCGGTCATTGCCTGAATCTCTGGTTCTACACCAGCCGCCAGCATGAAAACCTGTGGCATGAGCGAAGAAGTAACATACATGCGAGTTCGTTTACCAGCTTCCAGAACGAGACCAACCCGAGGAGATTCTACAGCTAATGAATGTGACCCTTTGTTGCGAAAGCCTATTTGCATCTGCCTGCCTTGCCAGGGCCGATATCCTGCGCATCATGCTGCATTCGCGAGACAATGTCAAAAACTCACACGCCCGATTGAGCAATGGCACCCTCGTCTCACCCGAAATGGTCACGGTACCTTCGCTGCGGTCAAAGCTGCAGCATACTTCAAACTGGTGCAAGAGCAGCCAATACAGACAGGCTGATGCTTGCATCCTAGGTACCGCTACCTTTGAGGTTCAATGCCATTGCTGGCCCTTCGCTGCTGAAGAGTCTATGCTGCCGACCTTTCAACATTCGTCTAGCTTGAACATCCTAAAGCTTTGAATACCCGTGGCCGGGTGCCTCCGGCTTCCAGGTGCAGATGCATTACTTGGAACTCCTCCCGTGATGGTTTCTTGTCCTACTTTCGCGGCACATGTGACAACCAAAGTGTGTTTCCTCGATGTCCGGATCGGCGTAAAGCTTGACGCCCCTGTCCAACCTGCAAGCTTGAGGGTACATCCTGTGGCCAAAGAAGAAAAATGTTCGCAAGTTACTTCTCAACTATGGTGATCTCTTCAAGTGCTGCCGACACACTCTGAAGGGATCACCGTTGCAGGGGGTCCGCCTGTCAAGGAACTTGATTGGCTCAATATGTCATCAATGTACAATCTGCGTTTGGGTTCGATTGGTTTCTTCATGCGCGGGCCTTCATAGCGCAACATGTCGCACAGGACTTCAACGTCCTGCCACTTGTCTCAAGACTGACATGCCCCGTCAAGTGGCAATGGCAAGCGTCCTTGAACTTGGGCGTCAATCCACCACGAACAACATTGTCAGAGCAAGCCATGCACCTCGCCAACTAGAAGCTGCCTAAGGCACTTGGAACTCAACTGAGACTTCCTTAACACCAGCAGCTAAGACTCTGGCTCAACAATATCGCCAGCGATATAAGCATGAGGCACATTCTGCGCCATGTACAGGCCTGGGACGCACACACAATTGGATCTCCTTAGCCTCGCGAGAAACGCCTTTGGTCTGCTCAAATTGCATGCCAAGCCTCACTCGCCTACTTTGAGGCGCGCGTAGTTCATGAAAAGGGCTGAGAAAATGCCTGTTAGCATGAGGACGAGCGGCAAAAACTGTGTCAACATGTGCGGTTACTTTGTAAATTCGTGAATCTTGCCTATGTCGTTGTCGTACTGAGCATGCAGCTTGCCTGAGATCAAGGTATGAGTGCCGCTGCGCTGACCTACAGGTACGAAAGCCGCTGTGCCGTGCAAAAAACATCCGGGCCACAAATCAACTCGTACAGCTCCTGCAGATGAAGTAGGCCGTGCTAAAAAAACAAAGCGACAACAATCGCATGAACGCCTACCTGCAACCTCTGCAGCTCTGGTTAGACTCTTGATCGTCCTTGATCTTGGGAGGCACAGACTGAGGAGGCTGCAACGCTCGTGAATGCAGCAGCTGGATCTGATTGATGACATCATCTTCTGACGCATGCATCCTCGGCTTGTGCGGCTTTTATGTAGGGAGGGAAAAATGTCCCGGCCCGACGCCTGGCCACCCTCAAATCGTCTTGCAGGAAAGCAGCAGCCTGGCATATGCACTCTTGAGGGCCTGACATCAGCAAAGATGCAACTCGTGCGCTGGAAATGAACAAATTGCTGCCAACCAAGAAGCCGTCGACTCCGCACTGGAATCGCCAACGGCAGCTTTGAGATTCTCCAAAGAATCTGGCCCAATGATGACAGCAGCCTCCGGCATATGCCTCGTTCTGCCAATCTGGCTGTATCGCTTGGAAGGATAAATTTTAGGCATGTGCAAGTGAAACTGGGGAGTGGCATTGCATGCGGGAGCCATGAAAGCTTTTTTGTTGGTTCTGCCCAATTTTACGGTCAGAGGTGCTCCAGAATCTCGATAATTTCAGGTACAGGTCGGAACCCACCTTGGCAAGATTTATCTCAAAGCATCTGACATGTAGCTTCAACAAAGCCTGAACGCAAATGCTCAGCAGTCTTCCGTTCCAAGGCACACAAAGCCTGAAAATCATCTGTGAGCGCTATGGCAATTTCTGGCTTGTGGTTGGGGTCTTTGTATATGTGTGGCCTTTCCAGGTGCAAACGGCTCGCGAGCTCCTTGTCAGGATGCGCCTGGATGGATAAAGCTTTGTGTATGGACAATACCTTCAACAAAAAGGGCAGCTGCTTTGAATCTTGCAGTTGTGGGCCCAACACTGACGGCGTCTTGTTGAATACATCCTGCAAGGATGTAGCACGGTGGACCGTCTTGTCGGCATTTCGGGGGCTAGTTCCTGGACTTACCACCCGGGCTGGTCCGGATGGGTGGTCCCCCATCCACATCTCAGCAAATGGCTTCGCCGCGTCCGGCTCATCTGTCAGATGTGGGCTCTGCTGACCAGTCAGTGCAGCGATGATGCTCTCGTTTCGCGGCTTTCCCCAATCGTAGTGCTGAGTAAATGGCGCAAGTGACAGTAACTGTATGCCCAGACCATCCACCATTTGAATATTTAGCCTCTGGCAAACCTGGATTTCTTGCTTCGTTGGCGTCTGGCCTCCGCCGTTTGCAAAAATGTCCGGGTGCAGCAGCTGCAGAGTGACCGCAACAGACTCGTCCTCGTCAACTGCCTCCACGGCTGCATCCACGCATTGTAGAGACCTTACGAGCTTAACACGTTCGCGTGCTGGTAGAGTCATATCTCCTCCATGTGGCCGATCGGATTTCCGCTTCGCCTCAGTTTATGCAAAGAAAACCTACTCACAAGATTAACGATGCAGCCAAGACGCTGCTTGCAAATCATTGTTCACGATAACGATCAGGCTGGTTCCCAAATCCCGTGCCTGCCAAACGCAAAAGAAATCATCCCTTCCCCCTAATATTAAACGACTTCCCCCCCCTTCCCCCCCCTAATATTGAACGATCCGGGTCCCGAACAAGTAGAGAATATTATGGGGGATGTTTATTGAAAGAACTCCATGGAAATGAATAACTACTTGATTACATTAATTAACTAATTGGATTCATTAAGTAAATTAGTTAATCAATTTGATTAAGCTATTCAATGATTAGTTATGACGAGTTAAGAAAGTAAATTAAATTACTGAGTAGATTATTGAAATAATTCCCAAACTCCCCCTAATTCATTACTAGGTGGCCCCTTTTAAAAGTAGTCTTCCCCTTTTGAAAGAAGTCTTCAGGATTTTAGGCCCCTGAATTTAATGTTGAATATTGAGGTTTTATATATTAGGCGGAAGCGATTGCGTAATTCGCACTTATTTTCGGCTTGGTCATCGCGAGGCCTTCTCCAAGTAAGAAACATGACCATAGTGCAGCGGATTGAAATAGCCAGAAGCCACCACAACGCGCTTAGTCATGGCTGTACCTGAATGGAAACATGATAAAAGTTTGCCAGTTTTCCAAGCCAGCCAAGCCGTGAGAATGCTCTCCATTGTAATCAAAGAGCTGAAATCACATCAATCACATCGCTAAGTTTCCATGGGGCAATCAGCTGCGAGCCAATGCAACCATGCATTCTGTTGACCTGCCCTGCTCCCCTGGCTCTGAAGTACCCTGTTGACAACATCGCGCGAACAACTTTCTTGACAGTGATTCAAGCCCAGCTGAATTGTTGGGATGCGTTGTGACAAGCTGTTTTCCTCTTGAAAGTGATCGCTATCTCTTTGACCGCCTAAGCCCCACATCCTGGCAAGCCATTGGCACACATCACGTGAACCAGCTTCTATGTTTTCAAAAGCATTGCAACGCATCTGCGTCCTCCCTTCTTGTAGGCATTGGCACATCTCGCTTGACTCCTCCTTGGGATTGTGGGACACATGCACACATCAAAGAAGGCGTTTCTTCTTGCAGCTTGGCTACTTCCCGACACCTGCGCAAACATAGGGCAAACACTGGACTCCATGCCTGTCTTGTATGTTGAATCTTTTCCAGTTCTGCAGATTGCCCCAGCTTGTCCTGATGCCATGATTTTACGGCAAATTGCGGTGTGCCGGCTAGAACTCGAGACTGCTTTACTCTGTGAAGTGCCACTCCGAAGCCCTTACGAAGACTCACAAAATGTCTAGTGGTGACGCAACTTACGTCACGCAGCACCCGCAACGATCATGTTGGCCTGGATGCAACCAACGTTTACCAACTCAAGCCCCTTTAGCTGGATCCTGCTGCGGGCGTCTTGTGGGCTGCGCTGATGACTTGCCAGCTGTAGCCTTACAGGCGCAGGTGGATGATGTATGCAACGCCAAAAAAGGTGGTACCTCGCTGGACTGCCCCGCCATTGCTTGATCATCATCAGCATTCGGCACAACCTTCCGGTCAGAGTTCAAATATACCAGAACATTCGCAAAACATAACTATCAAATGTGACAACGGGTCTCAATCATTCTCGCACTTGGCTATCGAATGAGGCTGTTGCGTCAGCGCCGCTGTTGCTTGGATACGGATGAGCGAGCTTTTTTGGTCTTGGAAGCACTGTCTTGGTTCCCTTGGTGCAGGCTGCTGTCTGACTACTACTTGCCCATCACAACTTGCTGCTGATGCAATGTGGCGTGCTAAATGCTTTGGCTCCTGCGGATGTCAACAATGCGGACTTCTTTGGCACTGGTCTTTGGTATGAGACCTGCGCAGGCAGCTCGGGCCAGAGCAGCCACGAGCAATCATGCCAGTTCGATGCCAGTTCGTTCCAGTGAGGCGAGCCACAGAGCGTTTCTTTGGCTCAGGTGGACCAGGTTGCGGAGCTGCCTTTGGTTGTGCAGCCAATGAATTCGCCGGCGTCTCGGGCTGCGCTGTCAGCGTCTGACAAGTCGTGGATAACCTGACCACTGAGCACGCTGGCAGGATGCACAGGCACGACCTGCACGACAAGCAGACTACCTGAAACACACTCAGTGACAGACCCTTCTTTATTGGGGTCCATCTTCATCGAGCGCGGAGAGTCTAGAGCGGATGGTTCCTGAACCTGGATTTGCGCAGTGTGCCACAATCGTGGTGTTTTATGACACATGGACAATCGGGGCCTGCTCGTCGCGCTTTGGTTTCTTCAAGCTTCTCAGTACATCCTTCCAAGCTGCTCTGAGCCTGTTTCGGTCAGGAGCCTGCAGCTGTCACGGTAACAAGTGATTACCTCTAAGCTTTTCTGCTTAGTGAAGCCTCCCAAAGGACGAGGTCGTCGTCACTTCCCTGACTCTCATCCTTCCGAATTCAGACTTGCTGTTTTGCTCCATTTTGGCCCGTTTTGGGTTGCGATCCAGCCCTCATAACATGTGGAGCCAGCCTAGACATCACGAAAGGGCAGAACTTCTGCCTACTGTATGCTGCGTGGATCCATTACAATTGCACGACCGTTTAACTTGAGCTTTGAGTTTCACGTTCTTCTGTCAGCAATCTTGCGCGGACACAAAGCACCTGCTTTGCCAAGATCTTAGGAACGCTCTTGAAGCCGATGCTTCTCTCTCACTCAAGCCTTGCTATGGAAGTTGAAAAGAAGCCCAGCCGGGAACAAGGTGAATGACAGAAACCCAGAAGTTCAAGTTTGAAAGGTCCTGCTCGCATGCTGAGTGCTTGGTGCGTGTAAGGATGTGCCATGAGCTCAGCGTGGGATCCCACTAGCCATTCCTTCCTTATGCCCTGACCCTGTCGACTTGTGTCTTACAAACATGTTACGAGCCCATAGGTAACCTTCCCAATGCCATGCATGTACCAGGGATACACTCGGATACACAAAGTCCCTGCGTGCAACAATTCCATACGCTGAATCGGATTCTACTCCCTGAGTTTCGTCAACTGTTTCTTTAGGTCTGGGATGTATGTCCATGAAATTGGCATTTTGCCACTGATGTTAAAGCAGCTTCTGCTCCATTAGTTTCGTCAAGTTTTTTTTGGGGGATTCATGTAGATGAAGTTGGCATCTGGCGACTGATGCTAATGACATATGGAGACTATGTGTTTTTCAAAGTGGATCGGAGGTGTAAGCTTAGAACTAGACATGGAAGCCTTCCCTGGCTGTCAGAAATTAAGCAGCCACCGCTGCTTCCAATTTCGTCTCCTTGTCAACCTTGGCCCAGACCCAGGCGTCGTTCATGTCCGAAGAGCCCGAAACGTGCAGAACATCCCAAGCAACCTTGAAGCAAAGGGTTGCGCGTTTTTGTACCTGGACCTGTGGAGGTTGCGAGAAGCAAGGTGGTGTGTTAGCAGCACTTCCTACCCTACATAGTTTCAGAAAAGCCTCGCAGCGTGCTGCTGGAACCCTTGGCTGCTCAACTGTGACATGAGCACTTGGTCATGGAGCCTCTTCCGGAAAACAGGGGCCAACTCGTAGCGCCAAGGGTCCACCGAAAGCCATCATACGAATCCTTGCACGCAATTGCAACTGGCAGTACGAAACGAAGCAACTGTAAAGACACAGTCCGATTATCTACGACTACGACTACGAGTCTCCTCCAAAGACTCCTCCTTAATGAGTTGGCTCGTGTCCTGCGGCAGAAGCTCTTTGTTCGGTACCTACCGCAATGTGTAGAATGATGCCGCCTCAACAGCACCGTACCATTCAGCGTTGTCCGCATCCTTTCAACTTCGCTGCACCGGCGTCATGCTCTGAGGAGCAGCTTCACGATGCATGCAGAACTTTTACAGTATGATACATCAGCTCCAAGTTGCTGCTGGTAGCATGCCCCCGTAGGGGTCCAGGACCTCAGCAAGGATTCGGACACGCCAGCATCCATAGCTTGCACGTTGAACAGTGCCGTGAACCCACGATGGCTTCAGTTTTATCGTTTACTGCCCTGGTTGTTTGCTATACCTTTGCGGCCGCGTTGGGTTGCAGCTGTGGAGACATCACGGGAGACTATGTACAGACTGCCGACCGCTCTCTTGTTGAAGCAGTCGGCATTCGGGCCTTGAAGGCTTGATGCTCCTTCTTGGAATCAACCGATACAAAACCAGCTGTCGCGTGGGCATGCGCCTCTTGAGCTAAGAGCTTTCAGATGCACTCCTGTCCGAATCTGATGACTGCTGATCCGGGTTCGCCTGCGATCGTTGAAAAGCTTTGCTCCATTGGCTTTTCTGGGTAGACTTGGGAATTCCTGAAAATGTGGGTCTCCTCGTAAAGGCTAGAATAACTCCAACAACTTTGAGAAACCCCGGCATCAAGCTGCTCAAGCTGCCTCAGGAGCGGCATCTTCGCTCAGCTTCCCGCGCCACGCACGTGGCGAGTGGACGTCTTCGATGGACTTGACACCTAGTCAAAATCTGGACGAGAAGAACACAATCTTGCTGCTGCCGGGACTGTTGAGCCCAAATGTCGAGCCAGGACTGCTAGCCAAACCATTACATTTGTTGTGCAAGATGAACCTGCAAACTGCAACCCAAGTTTGAAAAAAAATCTGCTGCCCAAGTCCCAAGATGCTGAAGAAATAGTCCAGCCGATTTTCTAGAAACTTGGACGCCATCTCGTCCTTGATAAACCGGCGTAAATCATCCAGCAGAAGTTCTTCCATGTCCTCCTTGCTCGGGTTGATGTAGGGAAGGCATGTTGCATATCTTGCAGGCACGTGAGCTGAGCGCCAAGCACCTTGTCCCGTTGCTAGGCTGCGAAGGGTTTCCATGTCTTTGTGGCTCAGGGCCTCCCAGCCCATCTTTTTGACGAAGTCCTCCGACTCGGGATTAACGGGGCTACCTGTCGATCATTCAGCTTTGCAGTTTTGCAGCTCCTCGAGGTCATCGACGTGCAGCTGGGCATGCTTGCTGGGGCCCGCTGCCCTGCAAATGCTTGTTTTGTGCTTCTTGCTTGCACACACTTGCGCTTCGAGGTTTCGGGGTGAGACGTTGATCTGGCCTGTAGGCCCAGCGAACTCGATCTTTGTCCCGCAGGGCCCTCTCTGCAGCCTCCACAACCCGCTCCCACTCGTCGCGCGCCTCTGCAGCAAGGCGGCAGCGAATGCACCAAATCTTAGAGCCTTTCAGCATTTTGCCAGCCTTCAGTTGCTGCTGGTAGGCCTTTTTGGCTTCCAGGTATTCTGTTTCCACCAGCTCCTGCGAAGTGGAATCAGGTGAGCCTGGCCCTTTGCCATGGGCAAGCGCGGCCTTCTCTTGCTTGGAAAGCTTCTTGCCCTGGACAGAGAGGTGCTCTGTAGTGCACACATCGCATCCTTAATAGCACACCTTGGCATTCATGTGTGGAACGCCCCTCTCATCGAAGCCGCTCCATCTTCCAATGTGCTCACCTTCAGTCATGATGTTTCCACCAGTTTGCCAGGAGATGATCATCAAATGTTTTGCTTGTTTAAGACGGGAAGCCGGTCAGAAAATGTAGCTTGGCTTCTTGAGCCTCAGATCCGTACAGAATGCAGAATTCACTGAGCTCAACGTGAGTTAGGACAAGCTGTCACCGCTTCAACAGGTTTGCCCACCGTTGCGCGCTCATGGCTCTGGAAGGGCGGACACTGCTTTTCACAAATCATGCGGAGGTAGGGAAAGGCGACCGGGGACATTCTGGATACTGATGTCAGCATACGAAACCAGGCTTTCATGTTAGCTCAGTGCCCTGAGCCCCTGGCAGGGCCTTTTTTCGTTCATTGGTACGGAAGTAGCAGGAAGTGAATGCGGCTTCTATCTGCTCTGGCCTCTTCAGGTGGCTGAGCTTCGATGTCGTCAGGGTCTGCATCCTGCAAATCCAAAGGCCACGGAAAAGTGCAGCTATGGCTGACAATTCAGACATGACATCCTGAGCAACGGCGCGTTGCGTCGGCATGGCGCTAGGCTCTGACAGCTAATCATGTATGCCGTGTATGTGCGGGTGCGTCTGTTGCTAACGCATCACATGGCTGAGCCTGTCTCTTCACCGAAGCAGGCGAGCAAACATAGCGTCAGCAAACCGTCAGCAAGCAAGGTAAACGGGGAAACGTGCGCACAGCGAAATCTGAGAAGGAAGCCGCTTGCTCGAGCTGTTGATGGGGCACACTGTCTGGACCATCCTGCTCTTCCTGCCGATGATCAGGACTGCAAAAGAGTCTATGACCGTAGGCAAAATTCCACGAGCTCAAGCAAGCTTTCGATTGAGCTTTCCTAAAAAAGAACACAAGAAAGAACCAAACGTGGCAGCCCCAGACATGCAGCCACTCTCATTTCCGACTTCCAGTAGTATGTGGTTCAGAAGTCATGCTTGCGAAGCAGCTGGTTGCAGAAACGTAGCCTCATAATCGTTGTAACCTTGCCGCCGAGCATATGGTACCGCAATTCGCGAATCTGCTCTTGTTAGCTGCAAACAAGCCGCTCATGCACCAGGACAAATGCCGGCAAAGCCTTCACACGTGGCCTATGCCATTGTATGACAGAACTTCTGCACACATTCCTGTGGGTGTCGTTTTGCAGCTTCGCTAGTTGCCTTGTCTGCTCTGACTTGATATCTTCCGCGATGGACTCAGAGACTAGATAGGGATGTTCTAAAAAGTGCAAACATTTTCCAGGGATATCCCAGGGTCTTCCTTCGGTGAGCATGGATTCCTGGATAAGCCGCGAAGCTGACGTCGCCAAAAGTCATTTTGGAATCAACACATGGCTGGCAATTCTCGTTAAAGCAAGCTTCGGTGCTTTCATCTTTGCACTTCTAGATCTTCTGCTCACCTACCGTTTGCAGCCTAACCCGCAAAACAACCCTGCTTTGGGGCTTTGGTGACACCGTGGCTCAGCTTGGCTCCTGCTGCAAGCGCTTGGCGCTGCGCTGAATCCCAGGCCAGTCAAAGCATGCGTGCATAATGTGTCTGGCAGCCTGCCCCGTGTTTTTTAAGTGGTATTACCGCCATTACGTGATTGGATTTCAAGTCTATGCACACCTTGTGAATCGTCACAATGATCGCAGACGGCACGAGTCACAGCTATAGGACATTCCGTTTTCAGCGATGTGGATGCATTAGATCATTTGCTGGACCAGCCTGGCGCAAGTTGCGGTGGCTAATGATGTTATGGCATGTGACAATACAGCTCCCCAGCCAAAACTACCCCTGAACGATTTTCAGGCCAGTTTCGACAAGGTGTCGCAGGCGACAATACATGAAGGGCTAGTGCCATCACATCCCTTTTGACACCTATGTATAAATTAACGTGAGCCGCCTCTGCAGCTGAGAGCTCCACGACACCGAATGCGCCCCGTAGCTTGGACCAGCATCCATCTGGCTCTCCTCGATCGGCATCGGGTAGGCCACCTTCTTTCTAGGCTGGCCGACGTGTGGTGACTGAGAGGGCGGGTGACATCATGACGCGTAATGAAATAAAAGCGCCCAAGTGGCATGCTGACCCTGCATTGCATGCTTGCCAGCTTCTTCTAGCTGCAGTTGCAGGGTCAAATGCCGCAGCTTCTCCTGGGTCAAGTAACTCTAGCGCTCGCCCTGCTCTCTGTGGCATGATGGCCTTGTTGGGGGTCCAGACAGCAACGAAATATTCCTTGGTATCTTCCGCCAAGGGTTGTGCATCCGCAGTTGCCATAGCAGCTAAGCAGCCCCTGGCGTGAGCTTTTCAGGGATCTCCTGGCGCAGGTTGCTTGCTGAGAGGCCGGGGTAGCTAATTACTACAAAGGCCCCTGCCTCCACAAGTTCGCGAACGTCCCACATGTGGCTCTGGAACACTTTGGGTGGGGCTCGACCTGCAGAAAGTGGACCATAGAGTGCGAATTGTGACCTCGGAGTGCCGCAAACCTCCGCTGAAAGCCACACAGTAGAGTCTGCGTTGCTTCTCAGGCACTTGATGTATTTCGAGGTGCCTGGCAAGATTCTGTTTCATCAGCAGCTTTGCTGTGCACAACGTAGGAACCCGGAATGGAATAGATTTGCAGCTTCATGCTTGCAAGGCCTTTAACTCGTTCGTCGCATTGGATGAGGCTTAGGAAGCCCCGTGCAGGAGTGCGTAATTTGATGCGGATGAGCTGATTGCACATAGATGCCCCAGTAGTTGTGAGCAGCGTGCGAGAGATCGTCCAAGAGCCGTCAAAGAATGCCACACCCACGGATGAAAAGTGCTTCAGGAAGTCCTTGTCACTCATCCAGAAGGCTCCGTCATGCTCATTAATCTCAACCTCAAAAGCCGCTTTGAACTTGTCGCTCCATAGGACACTCTTGTCACTCCAGTCGCCAGTCCATTCGTGATCGCCCCAGGGGTTGCGAAGTCGTAGCAGTCTGACACCACAGGCCTGGCGAACTGTTAGCAAAGTGTACGCATGGCCTGGCACCAAGCCATCCAAAGGAGCTTTTCCTCCTCCCTTAGTGAGGTTATCCACACCACTCGTGCCCGCCACCATCAGGTAGCCTTCCTTGTCAAACTTTTGCCTCAGCCCACTATCTGATTGGCATGCCTGTTTCCATAACAACTTCGATTATGTTGGCTGCTAGAGGCGGCTTCTCCGGCAAGTGCCCAGCGCTCTATCACAGGGCAAGCCAGCTGTCAGCTTGTGAATTACTTTTCGCGGAGAATTAGATTAGGAAGCAGCACTGTGCTCGTCGAGACAACGGTGCGGGAGCCATGTGTCACTCAAGTTTGCCATACATCGACAAAGCCAAGTTGCAGCGCCTCAAAGAAGCTATCGGTGGTTGGAAAGCTGCTGGGCTGCTGACCGCTTAGCTGATACCTGATTCTGATGCCAGGCTTCAACTTTATGACGCTGTGACATGATGCAGGCAAGACCATCACGGGCAATAATGCAGCTGAGTCACTGCTTGCCAGCCACACCCAACAAATCCATCAAAGCTTGATACCTGGAAATTTGGCTTCAATTTGCGCGTGGTTGTTTCTAGATTCTAATAATTCTGGTGTCCTTAATGTTGCACAAACCTTTGACACACAAGTCCAAAGCACGGGAGTCCACCCTCGATTTGTTCATACGAACCATGAAGCTTGGCCCATGCTTTTTCCAGGAGAGCCACCCACAGCTCATGCACAGCGTTACCTGCTTCAGGGAAATGCGACAGAATCATGGGGGTGCCTAGCAAGGATTGTATGCGGATAATGTTGAACAGCTCAAGGTTGGCAGCTAATGAGAATCAAGTGGAAACCAGCCCTTCCTGAGAGAACATTCTTGCTTATAGAGTCACAAGCCTGTACGCGGGCTGAGCTGTCTACACTTAAGACTTTAGAGGTATGCTTACAATGGCATGACAAGCGTTTTAAGATGCTTCTTGTTGCGCTTCTCGGACCCAGAAGAATATGTGCATGTTATGCTATGGCATTCCGACTTTGTGCACCCATACGGGAGCTTCCCCAATCCTGCCTTCATTCTCAACATTGACATGTGCATAGCATGGCTTGCCAGTGGTGGGCGAGCATGGGATCAGGTCATCCACAATGACTTTGGTCGGCTGCCCGTTCTTGAAGCATGAAACTTCGTAGAGACCAAGTCTGCTGTGCTTCTCCGTGCTGAAAAGCTTTCGTATGAGCTTTGGTTGTTCGGTTATGGCTGCCAAAGCAGCCAAATACCAACAGTCACCTAATGCGCCCTGGTTGATATCACATGGCACTATCGAGTCAGAGAAAACCCTGACCTCACCCTTGCAGAACTCATCAGGCCGCTTCCAAACAACGCTGGGGTGGTCTTCGCTGGATGGATCGTTGAACAGGGCAGCGTCATCAGCGAAGAACTCCGCATCCACAAACCTTTCATCTGACTTTCACACAACGTTATGCCTCCTGATTCTGCAACAATGAGGCAGGTTTTAACATGCAAAAAGACAACGTGCGGGTCTTGTTGCAATTAGACGGCTGGGAAATGCCTCGCTTTGAGCAAGCCTCCTGCAGCCATGGCAAGGGCAAAACGCTCAAGCCTTTAAACCTTTTGAGGGATACATGCACTATAACCCCTATATAACCCCAATATTATGGTAGTTTCCATTTTCTTTTCCATTATCCCAATACAACCCCAATATAACCTCAATATATACCCTATAATACCTATATATAACCCCCCTGTCTGCCAGCAGGATGGGCTAGGCCATGCCTCAATCTTGGCGGCAGACCCCAATTTGGACGCAACAATGCCCAAGGTCTTGAGATTCTCCGCTATCTCGCGACGCCTTCTCAAGTTTTCTCAGGGTATGCTGCGGCATATCCGTGTTCTGCTTGTGTCTTTGATTCTCTCTTCCTGTTGTCCATGCCTTCCCCCCTCCCCTATCTGCAGAACTTGTTTTGCAAATGTTCACCGCACCCTCCCTCACAGTGACTGTATATCAATGTCAATAGAAATACTGTTTGGATGGGAATGTGTCTTCATAGAAGCCAGGTGGTTCTCCAAGCGAAATCTTCTGATCACTCAAAAGCCCGGTGAACGTTTAAGTCAAGGTGAAGCCACCGCATCCATCTATTGCTTGTGTTCAGCAGATTCTTCCCACATGGATATTGGAACCCATGGTGCAAACCCGCAAGAACCCCAGCAACTGCGTTGAGCGCATGCCCTCACACACGTCCTTCCTTGCTTAAACTTTACTTCTTGCTGATCATGCTTGAGTTGCATGTCCCGGCCTCTTCACCTCTGCTGCAGTCTGCTGCTGCACAAGCTTACGATCAGCCGGTTGGGGCACCCAGCTGAAGTTTGTGCTGAGCCTTTCTGCAAGCCCTCCATCCTCTCTGCACCGTGCCCGCAAAAACTGGAACAATAGCCATACAAAAGACCAACTTAATTCAATGCGTGCAAGTCTCACCATCTTCTTCTGATTCGAGTCAACCTGCAAGAAGAGCATCAAGCGGGTTTAGGGCCCACATCCGCATTGAGCAGGATTCCCTGGCCTGGCCGATCTGGCATAGGTCCCACACTGATCCAGCTGGTACCTCCACCTAAGCACACACCAGGTAGCAAGATGATTGGGATGTCTGCTCTGTATTTCAACAACATGTGTCCGAGGTTCACGCAGAGCATGCATGCGAGCCTCTTTTTCCAGGTGGAACCCGAAACTCCTCTTTGAGATACGGGTGGCTGGGGTCTGCATGCTTCCATACGGCGTCTTCGTGCTATGATCAAGCTAAACATGTTCAAGGGGTGACAGGTTGAGGGGTAGCCGTGCATCCTTTGCGGGATCTTCTGATGCACAGCGCAGATGAATCTTTTCATGCAACATTCCCTCAGCAACTGACGCACCCGGTCCAGATTGACCGATTTAGAAATGTCCACCGTGAAATTCAGATTTGCAAGCTTCTTGTTGCTCACTCGCAGCTCGAAGCAGCTGCGTTTGCGATCGTAGCGCTGAAGCAGGATTACACCTTCCTTGGTATCCGCCAGATCTCCATGAACAAAGGCTGAGTAAGAGTGTGCCAAGTAGCTTGCAAAACCTGCTTCTTCTCGTCACTCTTCTGCGTGGAGTCGGCATGGTCAGCTTGACCTGCAGATCCTTGAACAGGTGACTTGCTGCTCATTGGCTGCGGTTTCCTCAGTGAGGCACTTGCATGCACTTGGAAGCACTTCCCAGCCCAGCAAGCCATCGCCCAACCTGCGGTGCGACCGGGTCTCTCAGGCGGCGTTTCATCCTGCTTCTCCAGATTTTGCCCGCCTACCAGATTCAGCGGCCGTTCTTGTACAATTGGTTTCAGATGGGCGTGGCTTTTGCCCTGTGCAAAAAAGGTGTGGGCCTCCTTCATCTGGAGCCTGGCCCTCACTGCCTGACCAGCCCGGAGAATGAAAGGATACTGGACTCCTCAGCTGATTCACATGGCAAGCCACTACAACACCTACTTGTGTGAATTTTTTACCGCCGACGGTTTTAGTTTAGCGCTGCAATGAGACAAAGAGATGCCAGATTCACTAGGCAGCCTCTTGAATGCATCTTCGATCTTGAAACCGGCTCTCTGTGCTTTCAACTTGCATGTATTTGCAGCATCCCAAGCCTGCCCGAATCTCAATTACGTCCACAGAGCTAGAAGTGTACCGTCCGCTGATCCCAATGATCTCTGCTGACGGCTGAGGCTTCCCAGGAAACACTTCTGCTTAAGGGCTTAGACTAAATGAGTCCTTTGCACTATGTGGCGTTGCCTGCCCTTATTGCCTGCTGCCAACGGGCAGGCGGTGGGTTCAGCAGGTATCAAGAAACAAGACTCAGCAACGAATGGACACTACTTTTCGAAAAAGCGGCAATGGTGGACTGTCATCTTCTGGAGGTACTTCTCCGAAGTCGGAGCCGGGTCGCGTGGATGCATCTGGTGAAGAACGGGCTTGGGCAGCCTGTGCTCGCGATGCAAAGACCGGCCTGAGAAGCGAGCATATCAAGGTCTCATGCACATGCAGGCAACAAGGAGGGCACGAGTGCCTAGCAGGGCTTGCTGCCTGACCGTCCCTTATTGAACTTGTATAAGCATGCTCCTTTTGTCATACCGAAAGTAAAGCAGGCTCACTGCCTGCCATGCTAACTGAAAGCGACTCACACACTTTCTGCTGAGGCAGTCATCTTGGAGTCCAGCTGATCATCATCTTCAGGTGGCGCCTCCCTCGGGGACAAGTCTTCGGAGTCGTCTTGGAGCTCGCGAAGCTCACCGCTTCGTATCGGGGACCACGGCTTAGTCGGGGAAGGAAGCCTTGCTGCTGGCAGGGCCCTGAGTTGAGGAGGCTACAAAACGGTGGTGCAGGTCGCTTACTTTGTCAACTGTACAGAAGAAGGCTTGATGTCAGAGACGAGCTAAGCACCTGGCAATTCATCCTCTGAAGGCGCAACCGCCTCCCTGGGTGAATTCACCTCTCCTGATGGGGTCTGACGGGACGTCCCGCGCTCCATGACCGCTGCCGTCAATGGTCTCTTGTTACTGCTCACTGTGAGCATTCGCGATGGTGATGCACGAGGTGCAGGCCTGGGTGGCCCACTTATTCGGCAAATCAACCCGGGCAATCAAATGTAAATCATTGTAAATCTGAAACATACGTTGTCTTCCCACAGCCCTCGCCCCCTCAAGGCACACTAGGTCAAGCAAGCGTCTCACTCCTCAATGACCTATTTAGAGCATGCAGAGCGACTGCAGGCAGAATTTAAGGATCCGGCAGGTCATCTTCGGGCGGCGCAGCAGCTTCTCTGGGCAAATTGGGCTCTTCCGGAGCCATCTGCTCAACCGGGCCGCTCTCCACTCTCGGTGCTGAGCATGGCCTGCTCGTCGTTCGCGGTGACCGCGTCGAGGCGCTACTGAGGGACGCCTCCATGCTGCGTCCCTGCCTTGCTGAAAGGCCCGACTTTGCAGCTAGCACTGGCCTCAGTCCCAACATGAGCCAGGACAGATAAACAGGTAGCGAAGCATGACCGATAAGAGGAAGCAAAGGAAAGAATTGGATCCGCTCAAAACTCAAAAGCTGCGGAAATGCATGGCCCGCAAGATCTTTCTAGGCTCCCGACGGTGCTGCCAATGCTCTCGGCGGGCTCTCAGTTTCGGGCCACTGCCAACTTTGGGGCGACCGCGTACAGGCAGCTAGGGACGCCTCCGTGCTGCGTCCTTCTTGTATTGCAGGAATCGACCTCACATGCAACAGGCTCACTTGAGATCCAAAGAGAGCAGCCCCATCATGACTCTCGCAGTTTGAGCATGCGCACACGACAGCAACGGGCAGGTCTGGCTGACAGAGCATGCTTTTTATTGCTGTTTGCCTGGGGTGAATCTGCGGTGCGCTCGGTTACGTTCCCTGCGCATTAGGGTGCATTCCCTGAAGGCACTGAAGTAGTGGGTAAAGTATGAAGCAACGTTACCCCATCTGATTTGACGCGCACGGGATCAAATTTGCTCCGGCCCTACTTGGCGCGTATGATGTGTGTTGCAGCAATATGATGCAATGGAAAATGTCTCCACCATTTTTCGTTCGTACTCTCATGCATGGCCTAAGAAGCGAGCACCTCTGATGTTCACGAACATGGAAGTAGTGGCGGATACAAGTTTACCACAATTCTGCTTGACATGTATATATACTATACTTCGTAGCGGCGTAGCATGTTGGCCAATGTTTGCCCAAAGGAAACTAGCTTAGTCCTTTTGCTTCTGGACGAGTATGCTTGGACATGCTTGGCATGTACATATGTGCCTTGTAGCAGAATCCGGATTCACGCGAGGCCCATCTAAAAACAGTGGCAAGTTATCAGCAGAAAATTTGGACTGCTTCCTCCTGCTGCAAGTTTACTCTGACTCGGGTTGGTACCTGACCAGCCTGATCGGTTAATGGTGGCAACAGATGGCTTGATCCAAATTTGAGAGAGCAAGCTGCTAAGCTGCTACAGTAGGGTGACCTTCCAAAAATCTGGCCTCTGGGAGCTGCCCTGAAGTTGGCTCATCTCCTCAGGCCAAGAAAGTGCAAATCAGCATGTCATGATGTGTCACCATGCTCATGTCGCACCTTGGCAATCTCCTGTTGCAGCTCGTCAACCAATCGCTGTTGCTCTTCCAACATGGCCCTCATCCTTTGACGAAGGACTTGGTGCTGCGTCTCTGCCACGGAAATAGAGTTCTTCAGCCTGCTTGGTGCCCCAGCTTCTGGCACTGGGCGCTTGCCCTGTGTCGTTTGCAACTTAAGCTCTGCATTTTCCTGCCGCAGCTTTTGGCACTCCGCTTCCAGGCTTCGAAGCCGTTCCTGCAGGGACTCTTCATCACTGGGTCTGGGCATCGGCAGTCTCATTGCCAAACTGTCGCCGCCCTGCATCAGCAAGGAGACCCTCTCCAGACGTTCACGGGAACTGGGGTCATTTGGCAGGGCAGCTTCAGGCAGTTGAGACAGCTGCATCTGCCCCGGAAGGACCAGCTGCGTATCCATCGCGTCAAAGCACGAATGTCCGGGTACTTTGCACTTGACATCAAGGTCACTATGGTCAACACAGGCCAATACACTGATGCGCCTGGGCAAGCCATGTCTTGCGATGGATCTGGGCAGGCTCTCATGCTCTAAATGGTGATCTCAGTGACTCAAACACGCCCTGCGGGTCAGACTTGAACAAAAATGGCAGCACGGCTGCCCATGGCCAGCACGCGTATGCCCCGCTATTCTGCTCCATGGAGACCGCCTCTGGCGCCCTGCTACAAATTTCTGCTTCACATCTTTCTCAAAGCTAGCATCCTAGAAATTGCCGCATCTGCGCACACATCGCAAGGAAAAGATGCAGCAAAGCTAAGACAAAGCTATTCGCGCTTGCACGAATTCAGTCCGCAGGTTACCTGGCATGGGCAATCAATGCAACTGCTGGCAGACGATCACGGCAACTCGGAAGAGTGGTAAGCCGAAAGAGTCGAATCTCTTGCAAGGGAGCTTCAGGCCTCTCTGTCTCATGTTGGTTGAGGCCTTGGTCGTGCAAAGCTGCAGTGCGCGCAACTTAGGGCCTGCTGACTTCAACCCGCATAAGGCTAAAGCTCCACAGATGTCTCAAACAAATCCAATTCAAGCTTGTGCTCTCTTTGCCTCGGTTCACCCGACAGCTTTCCATACAGTCGACGCAAGTCGCAGCCCCAGCAATTGGCCTCTGCCCAAACGCGGCCGAATCCAAGTGCTCGCGCCTCAGCTTGCCCACGCAAGTTGGATTGAGTCTCGTGTGTTTGATTTAGACTCCCACGTGAGCTGCTCCTCGGAATCGTTCCAATCCATGGGCTCTGTTTCTGCTGGCAGCACGGCAAAGGCCTGGTGCTGTGAGAATGTCGATTCGATTCTTTACATGGACAAAAGCATTGAAAGCTCTGCAAACTTGGTCCTCATCGACTGGACCCCAAGACTCCACCATGCCGCACATGTAGTCTGAGAAGGCCTGCTTCAGAGCATCGCCAACGAAACATTTTAGACACATTCGTCTTTTGGCCTTTTCTGTGCCGGTATCCAAAAAATTGCGGTCGGACCTGAGACAATTTTGGGATAGTTTGCCTTATCTAGCCAAGCCCTCCTCAGCAATTTGTCAGTACCCTACAAAGTGTACGTGCCATGCCAAGCTGGCCACTGTAGTGGTGGCCGAAAGGTTGCGTACGGTGTGCTCGCTAGGAAGTTCGACCTCAGAGGCAGTGAGCAGAATTTCGCGCCAGTGCTGTAATTTGCTCTCGCAGAGAGCCGAACACGCGCGATGTGTAAATGTCCGCATACTTCTCAACCTGGTTAAACTGACGTACACGTCACTTGGCAGTCAGACAAAAAAAACCACACAACCCTCCAAGGGCTGCGACTTGGCGAAACAAATGTGACTTTTCGTGCAGCCCCACCTTGCAATGCATGCACACCGGTCCGTCTGCAAGTGGGCGTCTTTGCTTGCAAATACAGGAGATGTTGAAGGTGCGGCTCTTGTCAGGAAGCCCCACCGGTTGCTTGTGCCTGCAACTGCCACGATTCTGTCATCATGCAACTTGCTGAGGCATGTCCTTCGTAAGCAAGCTCCGTTCAGCAAAGTCATATAAGTCACGGTTGCCCAACCTAGCAACTAACCTAGAACAACACTGCGCACCCGTCTGCATACGGGCCTCTGGGAGCACAGAACATGACAGCGGGCGAATCAAATCCCCTCCCACCAATCCTGGGATGATCGAGTCATCATCCCGCACAACAAGTTCATGGCCTCGGCATCAGCTTTCAAAGTCATGGCCGTGCAGGCATATTTCGTGCAGCCTCATGTATGCCCTCTGAATCAACACACAGCTCTGCCCTTCCTATCTGAACCCGGATTCAATCAGAGACGTTGAAAGCTGTTTGCATCCTACGAGTAAGACAAGTGTCAGGTTCCAACAGTTGGAGCCTGGAGATGCGCTTGCTGAAATGATGTTGGAAAACTTTGAAGCACTTCGAATGGCCAGTGCACGCTGCAGGAACTCTAGGACTGATGCTTCGATGGTTCCAAAGCATCTCTAAGGCTAGGGTCAAGGGCACTTTGCAACATCTTGGCATGGCCTACCCCTTGGGCTGGAACAGACCTGCTCCAGTTCCTCACCGGACCAGTCTTCATCGGTGCTGACCTGCCATCAGCCACGAGCAGGTTCCACAAGACATGCGCGGCCATATACATTTGCATCATGTAGCGCGCTGAGAGACAACCATCTTCATGGACTTTGTCAACAACTGCTCCAAAAGCAAGACTGTCTTGAACAGTCCGTGGATGTGGAAGCACTGCCGACACTAGCTACGAGAATGCTTTGGTGTGAGACTGGGGCACTCTGTACAAGATCCCAACGGATGATAAAGCTCCATCTTGGAGGCCAGGCAAGACGGGTGCGTCCTCTAATTCAGGGTGGCCGAGACTCTCAGACTACGCAAGACCATAGCTGATAAACTTTTCGAGCCTGCCTGAGCGTATATGCATCATATGCACTGGCATCGTTGTGAGTAAAGCTTGTCTGCAGCTCAGCTTTGCACAAAACTTGTTCCAGGTCATGGAGTGCGAGCGGGTGGAATCAGATGCCGTGAGAAATCTGAAGACAATATCACCAGGTCCAAAATAGCCTCAGTCATGCCGACTGCATGGCTCTCAAACACACACACACATTGACTGACCGTAGTTGTTGGTCCAATGTTTTGCAAGAAGCAGAGCCGCTTGAGGGACTCCAGCCAAGCCTCCCGGCTCAAGTCATCTTGGAGTTCTGGGTCCTGCAAGGCCGGTGGGCTCTCCCCGTTTGAACACAGCTTGCAATGCTGGGTGGTCCAGAGCATTCCAGGCTGCGGATATAGAGCCATGTACCCGCACCAAGTACTGCCTCAGGACTGTCTGACAGTCTCGCATTCTGAAAAGTGCGCACAAAACTCTTTCTGATGTTCAGGCACGGCAGGCGTCACATCAAGTGCCAGCGAGAGGCGCACACTCTGCGAGGGCATGTTCAACCTGACATACGCTGACAGGCGTACGTGACGCGCTGCAACCGGATGGTTTCTTGCAACTCTGTCTGCCCTTGAGTTTCTTCGCTTATGATTCGACGAGCCACATCCTTCGTCAGCTGCTGCAGGATGTTCCAATCGCTTCTGGAGAGTGTGCCATGCCCCGCGGCATTCAAACACCGAAAAACAGCCAGAATTTGCTCCTGCCGAGAGCAATGTTGGCATGCTACTTGAAACTGCCCTTTCGTGCGTGGTTTTCTGGGCACGGCTTCACAGGGTCGGCTGTAGAATGTCAGGCACCTTGAGTTCGTGATCGGATGCCGGATTCTTGTACTTGCGCCAGCCAAGATCTTCAAGTCCCTGGTGAAGCTTTCCAAGGCCAATCTCGCCTTGGAACATAACGAAGCCATGGGTTGGTATCATTTCTTTGCGGCTTGCAGGCAACTTTCCCCCTCTTCCGAAACTGGTGGCCATTTCCATCAAATCCATCGATGGAATCAAACGCTTTGTTCAAGTCCATGCCGTTCTCTCTGAGCATCCTTAGCGTGTTTCCAACCCTCACATGCAAAAATTGTAAGCCTGAAGAAAAAAATTATATATATATATATACACCCTATAATCTGTATGTACGCCTATAATCCCTGTAGTTTCCATTTTCTTTTCCATTATCCTATATGGCCTGCATGCATGAGCAACCAGGCAAGCTGCAGGAGAAGGTCGATGACTTCTGAAGGCACCTGCGGTCGGCTGCTTTGCTGACACTTGGGCATGTGACAAGGCTAGATCCTATTGATGTAGCAATAGAGGCCGGGCATAGCTGCGCTTGTACGGATGAAGTTTTGCCACAATACATGACACGTGTTCGTTGTACAGTGGGTCGTCCTTCCTTAAGATGCAACTTGCGTGGTGACATTTCCCGCAGAAGTTCCCGGGCCTCTATCATGTTCGTCCACCAGGAGACGTCAGCCTCCTTAACGTCCTGTCATTCATTCGTGGTGCGGATTGCGTGCGCCATAGAAATGTCAGCTAAGCCGCTGAGAAGTGGTAGGACTTGCACAGCTGCTTTCGAAGCTCGAAATTTCGCTCGTCTGGAGCACAAACGTAGCTGCACCTCATCTTGCAAGCATGCCCATCACGCTCCAGATTAGATAGGGTATCTCAACAATGCTGTGGCTTTGAAGTGCTGCTCTCCATCAAACCTGAATCAAGGTGCTTGAAAGTGCCGCCCTGCGGAACCCGATCCAAGAACTCCTCGGCTGGGACAAGAAAACTCAGACACTCTGAGATCTGAGGTGCTTTTTGCAAGTTGCAGCCATCTGGCAGCTTGCTATACAACCTGTGTATTGCAGCATCAAGGCTCCCAGCTGCGTGGGATGCCCATCTTCAGTGGGTCAACAGTCCCATCTGGCAAAATGTACCTGCCAAATCTGCGGCTTCGGCGCTATCAAGTTGGTCATGTTCTTTCTGCAAGTACAAGTATCGAGTGCGTCTGGCCGAGGTGCTGGGGGTGCCGGATGTTGCCAGCATTCTCTCTTGTTGATAATGCCAGCAGAGCAGTCATGCAGATGCGCTCGTCATGGCGCTCCAAGTTCAGTTGGAACTGCTCAAACTCCGGCTGAATGTATGGGAATGTTCGAGCAAAACCAAGTCGCCGCCGCAGAGTCAGCACATCCGAGAAGTCCTCTAATTGTGCTTTGTACATCTTCGCGTTCTGGGGATCCTCGCATGGAAGCAGCTCGCGACAGCCACCGGCTAGGCCAGGAAAGGACAGCTACAGCTCTCAGGCGAGGGCCAAGATCCGACTAAAGAAGTACACGAAAAGCTCAATTCGATCTGCTGGCTCTGAGAAGGTTCCCACCAAAACGCGAAGCTGCCTTTCACAGTACTGGACAGATCCCACGCTTCTCTCTCACAGATCCTGCCTTGACTCGATGTAAAATGTCTCTGCTTGGCTCCGCAAGGCAGCCACTTTGACTTGCGCGGAACCTGAGAGCTGTCAAACGATCCACAACAGTTCCGTGGCTGCGTGATGCAAGGAAAGCCACATGCTGGTTGATGAACCTAAGCTGCCCAAAATGTGCAGAAGTTTACTTGCCCGCCTGCAAGAGGTACAATACAACTCAAGAGAGCAGCCACTTTCTGACTAGCTGCCGCCTCTAAGATCTCACAGAAGGATGCCCAACTGATGGCTTGCACCCCCTTGGGCGGCCCTTGGGAGCTAACATAGTCCAACCTTAGCTACAGTAGCTCAGGCCGCTATTTTGTCACTGCCGGCCTCAATACAAACGAGGCACTCAAGGGTGTCATAGCTAGGACGCTTCCAGTCGGCGAAGGCCATTTGCGAACTCCTCAGGACATACAGAACTAGCACCCCCCCAGCACAAGGCATGTGCGAACTGCGTTTCAGATTTGGACCAGGCGCTGAAGTGGCTTGCCCTGATAGAAGGCATTCCTTGCATGAGATCTGTTGCACTCAGCTGATATATCTTCTCGCCCGAGCCTCAGCTTGAGCGGCAGCACTGCATTTTCGTGAAGCACAGGCGAGGATAGTGGCACAATACGTTCATAGATATCTGAATGCTTGCCGAGGTGCCGCTTGTCCATCATAACTCAGGAAAAACAAGGTGACAGTTAAGCATGCTGGAGCAACCCGTACAGGTGAGTCATTACGAGCTGTGTCAGCCATGCGGCTTTCCCACTTGTCGAGGAGAGCCAGCTGCTCCGCCACTGCAAAGTCTGCCCGGTTCTCCTAAGCAAGCACATCGCACCAGCTCCAGAGCTCCAGAGCTCCAGACCCAAGCTGTAGCTCAAGACAAAGGTTGTCCCAAGGATCCATGGCCAACACATAGTGACCAGTCGGGTTTGCTGGCGTAAAGCGCAGAAGCCTTACATGACAGGCCCGCGACACAAGTTCTTCCGAAGAAGCTGGTGCAATGTGCTGAGGCCGCGCACTGTTTGAGCTTCTGTCGGCACGTGACACAGTCCAGCGTTGTAGCGTACATCCCCTGCACAACAAAGTACCTTGTTTCAAATGGTTCCACTCAGCGCGATTGCAGCTCTGACATGTTCTAATCAAAGCACATGGCATCGCGGTTGCAATTGCTACTTGTTGCAAGTTCTCCTGATCATACCTCTGCAGGGCGTGCGCTGCTACCAGTAAGTGCTGACAAGTTGCGAGCCTGGTTCGCGCAGAACCGAGGGAAGCAAATTCATTATGCAAGGCGCCCTGAAGAGTTGTGATGTCCTTGGAAACTCTCAAGCTGACCCTGCATGATATATGCAAATCGTGCTTGAGGAGCGGGCTCTGCCAGAACTTTGAGGTGCGAAATGGTCAAGACAAAGTCAAAGCTCAATGCCTGATGCCAGCGAATCTCTTGCCCTCCCTCCTGTTAAGTCCTGGCAGGCTCACCTTCAGAAGTGCGGCTTGCGAGTGCTGAAAGCCGTCCAGCTCTACGAATCGACCGAAAACGGCCACTGCCTGGCATATGAAAAATTCGATTTGAACAGAAAGCTTGTGGAAGTCTGGCCCTCAAAGCCCACCTTACTGGAATCCAGGTGGAAACGGGAAAGGCTGTAAAATCCTTGGGCGGCTCAAGGAGCAGATTGGCGACACGATGACTCATGTCAGATTACACTCAACCCATGCCAGGCTTTTCGAGGACGTTCTCTAGTTTTCTAGAACTAAAGGCAGGCTGCGGTTGATCACACGTCCAAAGTCAGACTCCACGTCTTTGAACAAAGGAGACTCCAAGCAGCGTTCCTTGGGCTCTTAGAAGAAATGCTGGCACTGGGGAAAACAAGCGGTTCACACTGCATCCCCAGCTGAAGGCGTGAACCTCATCTGGGTGAAAGGTAGCTCCCATGCCAAGCTGCCAAGTTGAAGCTGAGGGTAACTTCGCCATCGCTTGGGACTTCCCACAGTCCTGGCATCTTGGGTCTGACAGGCTGCTGCGGCACTGCGCACAAAGCCCAATCAGCAAAAAAAAACATCAAGCCTGCTTTCTTTGTTCCGTGGACAAAGTCATCGTCTGAGCTTACCTTGGTAATCTGGCCTAGATCTGCTCATGCAAGAGATGGCAGCCGTGGATGCTACCTAGCAACGATGGTTAGCACCTCTGACGGCGCCAATCGAAATCTCTCAGCCGACTTGTACAGCATGCGCAGCAAGGACCTGTGATACCTTAGGCTTTAAAACAGCACTTGCTGGCACCACAGCACTTACTACTGGATCTCTTCACTTGTCTTCGCAGATTTCAGACTGAACGTTATCCAAACCTTAAGTTGAGTCACGGGCGATGGAGCTGCAACATATAGGACCCAGCGCCAGGGAGGTTGCCTCAATGTAACTTTGCATCGGTCATCTGTTGCTTTGCGTCTGCTACTGCTTGCAAGCATCTCATCGAAAAAACCTCGTGATCTTGATCAGCTGGCACCTTCTAGCAAACACAAAAATCGGGTGAGTTGCTCTAGTGGCTGTTTGTCCAAGGATGGCCTCTCCCCCGTAGCAACCGGACGTATCATAGAAGAGCACAGCATTCCTTGCTGCAGGCGCAGTGCCAGCCTTTGCATCCAAGACCCAAGCTTTGGCCAAGCGTCGTCTGTGAGGCAACCATCCTCAGCACTGACCTGGCTGGCAGTTGAAGTAGAGCTAAGCAACTAGCCTAACCCTTGTTCCAAAGCTGACTGCCATCAGTTCCTTGCCTCAATCCGCGAGGTCCCAGGGGATTGTCGGCCAGCTGCAGGTTCTTGAGCTGCCTTAGGTTTATCTGCTGAGTCTCAAGCCTCACGAATATCCTATATGAGCTGCGCAATGATGACACCCATATGTGGCATATGTGGCACCTATTTGATTCGAAGTTGTGGCTGTCTACAGAAAGCATGAGAGCAGTCGCTTGGTCAGCCAGGACACTTGTGATTCTGAAGCGCATCCTCCAGAATCAGCGCAGACCGAAAGTCCATTCCTGACAAGTGTGGAGTGGCGTGGTTCCTTTGATTAGGGCTTTCTTTGTCACACGACCCAAGCTGCAGCCTAGAAGGCCCAAAAAGGTCAATATCTTTTGCGCAAGGCGACTGCTCATGGAGAGGTCGAGGGAAGTCAGCGCGTGATCTTTTTGCAGCTGCTCCAAGAAGAAGTTGACCTGGATGGCTTTGCTTTCTTTGTTGCCTGCGCAGAGGACCTGGCAGCTCTGGACCCGAATGATGCTGCACTTGCAACCCCAGCTGCCGGTACGGATAGGCGGTCAATACCGGCGCCCGAGCAGTTGCACACATTCAGCTTCTTCACCTCTGCAGACTAGCCAGTATCCCGCGCTCACTGAATGTCACCGGGAGCACCCAATCCGAATAAGTTGATTCGAGCTGCCGTAGCTCGCTTTGCCAGATGCTCCCCCAAACAGCAGAAGAGCTGTGAGGACATGTGGTTCCAGCTCAGATCCAATTCCTGAACCTTGTTGTCATGGAAGTGGTGTTTGTAACTTCCTGGTGCTCTGAGGACTTTCAAGCAAGGAGCGTCGCCCTGCAGCAATGTTGCGATGCATTGACAGCCATGGTCGATGGGGCCATTCCTCAATAAAGATGGCACTTTGCAATTCAGCTAAGGCATTGTAGGCAAAAATCCCTTGCACGCCAGCCATGCGTTGTCTTGCTCCAGCAAAGACACCCCAAGGACGTGCCGCTGAGATTAACCTCAGGGGCCGGGGGCCAATGGAATATGAGCGTGGAGAGCAAGCAAATCCATCGACCCATCAGTTTGATGTTCAGGGCTTTGCTGCTCTAGGGTGTTTTGTTTCGTGTTTGTGCCCGCTTGAACAAGTGCAGTGCGTTGCACTGCAAAATCCAGGAATCCCAGCTCTTTGGGTTTCAGGGCTTGGGGCTGTTTTTGGGTTAGGGATTGCTCAGGCTTTGGGCAAAGCAGGATGCCCCGCCACCTTGACCCGCCCCCGGTTGTCATCGAACGCGTTGGGCACTTACCTATTGCAAAACTAACCTGTGCTTGCTGCTGGCAGCACGCCATGTGCAGTTGCTACGGCCCTGACAAAATTTGTTTCTGGAGCTGGTCTATGCACAACTGAAGTCTGCTCACGCTAAGCGGCGTAGCGGAGGGTCTGCCGCTCGCTTATTGCTTCACACAGCGGCATCTGGTTTCGGTGCTTCACCTCCACCTGACTCAGATCCTCAGAGCACTGAAAAGGAGCCACGCACAACGACGTAACTTCTTTCTTCATTCGGAGCTTTCAATTGAGGACCCAGCAAGCCGCTGCAAGTTGAAAGCATCATTGACTAAAGAGATGACACCTGGGTGCCCAAAGCGCCACTCAAGTTTGGGTTGCTCCTGTTTGGATCATTTTGAATTTGCTCAACGGTACGCATGACTTGCCAAACCATGAGGAAACCTATGCGAGAACCCTCCGCTTTGCGCATCTTGGGTTCAGATCCACTTGCAGATCCCAGCGGCCATCAACGCATGGAGATCCTGCTCTCGAGCAGCCGCTGAGGCTAAGCTCAACCAAGGTGGAGGCCTCGGCTCAAACTTCTTGCTCACAGGGCCACTTCAAAAATATTTGCTGTAGTCCAAGGTGGCCGCTAGTTTCGGAATCTGCAAACTCCGCAGCAGGTGCCCCAATGAGCGGTCGCCTGGAATGTCTGAACGATCGTTTGAACGCTCGAGTGGGCATGGGTTGGTCGAGCCACTGAGAAGTGCATTGCCGTGCAAATCCACCTGGCGCACCCAAAGCACCGTGTTGTATGGAGAGTCTAGCAGGCAGCCCTGAAAAGTGAACTTTCTAAATTTGCAGACGCAAAAGGCTTTCATGATGTCTTGCAGAGGTTCTGCATTCGGGGATGTTCAGGGCGCCTTTCGGACGGCATCCACGGTGGGCAAAGTCTCTGCAATTGCCTCGGTGACTCCATTCAACTACATAACGTCAGGCAGACCAATGTCATTGGTCTGGCTCGTGGCTGTTCCTAGCCTTGCAGATCTCCCATGCAAGTTAATTCAAATCTTGGTCGTCAAGGAACCACCATCTCCACGTCGCTCAAGTCTAGCCGACCCAGTTCGAGATCTTGGGTCTCTCCAATCCTCGTGCAGCCGAGATAAGACTCTATGCTCATATGCGTTCTTCCAAGAACTCATTCTTTAACATCTAATGAAGGTCCAAGAAGCATGAAAGGAATTGGCAACGGAGTCATTGTGCGGCCGTGGCATTGCTTGAGGTACCGCTCTCTTGCCGGATTACTCACCTTGGCTGTCAATCCTGCAGTCTGAAAGCCCTCTGCCCCGTCTTGAAGCTGCAGCCATGTGGCTGGAGGCAGCTTGTAAAGCTGACCTGATGACACCTTCGGTAATTTCAGAGCCGTGTCGGACTTGGACAGCATCCGCCCTCGGGCAATCGACGCACGAAGTTACAAGGACAATCCCCAGGAGAGACTCTTCAGGCGCTGACTAAGAGACGGTTGCCGCGACAGAGTGGTGCGGTATGGGGCTGACATAGTGTTCGCTGCCTGGTCATATGCATGGGCGAAATTTCCGAAATGCCATCAGCCTGCCATCATACCCTCACTCCGTGTGTGCTGGGCCTTGCTGCGCTGCCCAGGCACAGGAGTGCTGCTCCTGGTGTGCCAGTTAGGCCAAATGCAGGCTATTAAGCCATATTACGCATATTTATGCATCCTGCAATTGCTGTAGACATCCTACTGGACCCACTGGATCTGTGGATGTGTTGAAAACCCATCCGCTGTCCTTCCAGGAGCTGGGAGCCTCCAGAGCGCTCTTCCCATGACCCCAGTGCCCTACAGCCCCTGAAGATGAAAGGCGTACAAGACCTCCTCACACCTTAGACTACTACATTAGGGATAATGGAAACTACTATAGTATATTGGGGATATATAGGGAAAATGGAAAAGAAACATGGAAACTACTATAGTTTTCTTTTCCCTGTAGTGGCCCTCGTTGTCAAAGATCTGCCAGGTGGCGTTTGCAGCGTATTCCATGAGTCCTGCCAAATAACACTTTCTAGTCCCTGAGCGACAGGTGCCATTTTGACTCTCCAGTTGTCCTTGTGATACTCATACCAAAAGTCCTCAGTTTGACAAGGCTGCGCGCGTCGTGCTTCCCGAAGCCCAGCTAGCTTTGCTGATGGCATGCAGCTCAGCGTCCACAATCCTCACCCTGTGATCGAATGTGGCTTCACGTGGAGTTTCCTGAATGGATCCTGCCGCGGATCAGCAAAATAACCTTTCAAAGTATCCAACCTTTCAAAGCATCAGCATGTTCAGCTGGATTCGTAGCATTCGTAGCAAGCATTGTTAGCAAACAGGGAATGCCAGACCCCCTGCACCAACACAACAAAGCCCTTCCATACTCTCGCAGGATTCCAAGCTCGCAACCGCTGTCTTTGCAGACTTGCTCATGAAACACCAGATCAGGGTTCATGTTGTGTGTGGCGGATGGGGCAGCACACTGCGCAGCTTTAGGGTGGGCAAGGCATCGTATGTACTCCACTTCGACTGCATGCTCTGGATCTTGCTGTGGGGTCCATCGTAAAGCGATCGATATTGCGCCAACCAGGCTTGCACCTCAGAGGTTGATGCTCATATTAACTTCTGTCGAGCTCAAGTTTGCATGACTTGTCCGCACCTGTTTCTGCATACTCCGGCATCCTGTGGACACTTCCAGGAAGAAGGCTGCCTGGATGTCAGTTCCGGCTACAGTTTCTAGTCTGTGCAATCATAACGCAACTGAAGGAGCCGACTCCAGCACATGCGACTGGGCCACCCATGATTTGAAGCGATCACTCGGTGTGCGCAGCCATCCACCAGCAGCTGCTGGCACGGTTTTCTTCTCTAAGGTCACGGTATGAGCAATCACCTGGTCAATCTAAAGGAGGAGGCAGAAAGCATCAGCAAGCATGAGCTGAAAATTCTGTTACTTCGATAGGGGTTGGACATACATGGAGTATCATGGGGGGTTATCCCCAGGGTTTGATCCAGATAAATTCCTGGGGGCATGAGAGGGGCAACCGAGAATACATACAGTACCAAAGGGGCTAGGGCCTCAGGAATTGCCGATTTTGGATATGAATGGGGCTTTGACTTGGACCGGAGGCCTGAAATGAAATCCTTCGGACCTAAGCCGCACACCTACAATCTTGGCACGCCTCCTCAAACGCTGTCGTCGCCAGCCCTCGCCTCCCACTATCACAGCGAGAGGCTCCGACTCTGTCTTTGTCGTCGAAACTCTCCCCTCCGACTTTCACAGCGGGCTGCTCAGGCCTTGTCGTCTTTGTCGTCGCCAGCCCTCGCCTCCCACTATGACAGTGGGAGGCTTAGGCTTTGTCGTCTCTGCCGTCGAAACAGTCTCCCACTATCACTGTGGGAAGCTGCCGTACACTGAAATAAATCCTGCCTGCCACCGGAGCCAGCAACATACACAAAAGAAGATCATGCAAACAGCCAGAGGAACCTGAAAATAAAACTTGGATGAAGAATGGATGAAAACAAAATTTGAGGCTTGAGCCCCATCCAATCCCTATTTCTTTGCTTCGCGTCCAGGCGCAGCAGCGAGCTCTTCTGTCATGATCAAGAAGCGGCAATCACTGACAGCTGCAGTCTCGTCAGGATCTGGGAGCTGCAGGACCTGCATTCAAGCAGCATGCCCGGCTTACACAGAACTCGACGAGACCTGGAAAGGAGGCCTGCGTAATGAGCTTGAGCTCGGCACGGGCGGGTGCCACGATGTCCCCTGTCAGCACGCTCTTCTGCCACCTAGTCAAGAATCTCCGCATCAGGCATGATGTGTTGCAGTCAGATGCTGCAGGCTCTGGAAGCTAGACTTCACAAGGAAACTTCCAAGGTCTACTTTCTACCCAGCGACGCTCCACCAGCTTCTGCCGTCAAGGGTCATTTTGAGTATGAACGTTCCCAAGGCGATCACTCGCCGTCTCTCCAGAAAGTCGATGACTTCGCCATCCTCGGTCAGTGACACATCTTAGGTATTTGGCAGAAGACAGTACAGGAAAGCATCGCTGGCATCCAAGACACGGTGTTTGGCACTTGCTGATTCAGATCCACCGACAATCGTCGGGATCTCAAGGCACCTGTTTTACAAAGTGTGGCAACTTTGAGAGGAGGCTTCAAAGGGAGCAATGCTGGGCAGGTGTGGCCTGCTGCGAAGCTGGGGCTGACCGTGCGGCTCATGGTGCGGCTCATGCTGGTTGCATGGCTTTTCGACCCCGGGCTCGCGATGTAGCTGCCAGGTGAATCTGACAGGCATGTTTACACGAGCATCACGAGCAATTCAGTTCCCAGCAATCTTTCATGTGCCTTCTTCCCGGGAGAACAAGTCGCTCTCAAGCTCTATTGATTGTCCTGCGTCAGGCACGCAGCGCTGCAAAGCAGCACAGGAAGTATATTAGGTATAATCAAGTGGAGTGGGTCTTTGCCGTGCAGCATGACACGAGGTCTATCTTCCATCATCGGACACGCTCAAGTTTTTAACCCTGGGCCCTGGGCGGCTCCTCCTCCCTCGCCCCAAAGAAGCGGCATTGATGAGTCTTCACCTTCCGCAGCCAAAGGCGTAGTTGGGTCCACTGCAGCGTCTTCTCCTCCGGAGACTTAGCAAATCTCTCTGGATGATCATGCGGACACTGTCACCACCATGCCGTGTCCTGCCACCTCCTTGTAGAAGAACTCAGCATCGGAATCGTCGACAGGGGCCTCTGAATTCTGACGGACTTCATCTCCTGCCCAGGTGGACAAATCACAAGGTCTGAAAGTTTGTGCTTCCCCCGATATTGCCCCATCCCCAGGCCACTGACCCACACCCTCAGCGCAACCAAGGGTCGAATAGCAAGAATTCGCGAAACTCCTTTTCGCAGCCGCTTCTGCTCCGGAGCTGATGAACTCCTGACCAGCTATGCATAGCTATGCCGGGACAGACCAGTTTCCAAAGAAACTCTTCTTCTTGCTGGCATCAGTGCTTCGTCCTGGATATAGTAGAATCTGCGAGCAGGATCCTTAGCCGTGGCACTGCTTCAGTTACTGCTCAGAAGCTTTAGCTACCGTGCAGAAATTCTTTACCTAAGCCCAGGCCTCACCTACATACGGCCTTCATAACCTGCGATTATCACAGCCACTTTGCTCAAGTCGAACAAAAATCCGCAGCCTTATGGTTGGAGGCTTTGGGCCCATGGGGCCCAAGGCAGAATGCGTGGGAGCATCGCGCAAGATTCGGTTTCTACAAGTTGCCACATAGGTGCAAGAACTGCCACCCCTCAGCAAGAACCTCTTAACAGCGTGGATGGGTTTCCTGTGAAAAGGCTGTAATTAAACAAAAACGTGCTCAGCTCCAAGGCTCGCAAGCTCTTTGCGCTGCTTCAACCAGCTTGCAGCCATGTCTGCCGCCGATGCCAACGCAAATGGGCGATCGCAGCATGGAGGACAGTTGGTCCCGCAGAGTTTACAACCTTTCGATGCTTTTTACTGCAGGCTAGGGTTATCTGGACCAAATACTGCAGTCATTTTTGACTTTATCTTCACAGCTGCTTGCCTCTGCCCTCCATCTTGGTTTTTTCAGAAGACATGTCCAGAGTGGGCTTGGACTGCAGACATTACACTGCATATGGGGCCCTGCCATTTTCTACCCTTCTGCGGCCCTTAACTTCCAGCAGCGGCGGTTCATTGATAATCGCTCAAACAGAGTCACAGCGCTCACTAAACTTTACCTCCAACAGGCTGCAACCCCGCAAAAGTTGTGACGCGTCCGCATACCCCAGGACTGTAGCCATTACTCAACCCCTCAACGTAGCGCCTGAGACAAAACAGAATCGCATTGCACGTGCAGCCAGTTCCACCTCATGCACATGAGGAGGCGAAGCCACTCCTGCCGTTGAGCGCAGGCCTCGGGCTAAGTATCTCACCCAGAACCCAACCTAAGTAGTAGTAAGGCCGTGACCCAGGGACAGTTGCGTAGAGATGCCAAGTCGGCTTCTGGCAGCTTTGACCAGAGACCTGGCAGTGTCCAGGGAAGCAGCCAACAGACTTTCTGAATTGTCTTGCGGAGTTGCATGCCGCGCTGGTGCAGCAGACGATCGCGTCGCACCAGCCTTGTGCAGTACACCAAGCAATCCTGTGAGCACGTCGCTATGTGTGAAAACCATTTAGCCTGCGAGCTCAGTGTGTTGGGGTCACGAGATATGCAAACCCTAGACCAGGAAGTCTCTAGCTGAGGCTGCGGCAGGTCGCCAAGATCCTTCCGACGCTGCTGAGATGTAGCTAACGCACGCACCTCCCAAATCCACAGCTGCAGGAAGGCATCTATCAGCTTTGCTGATCTTTGCACCTCTTCCTCAAGCTCGCCTGGCATTGCACGCCAGCCCACGGACTAAATGCCGCAGGTGTAGCTATCCCCCAGGTGCCCAAGCGTGACAGCAACACGCATAATTAGGCACGTTCTCCACTGAACAATCCGCCTGGCCACATTCCTTGGCTTGCCAAAAGCTGTAGCCAAGCATGCGATGTTTTGGCTTTTCCTCTTTTTCGAAGAGCTTGTTTTCCCAGCAAATGCTGTCATGTGGCGCCTCATACCAATTCCAATTGAAGCAACATGAAATGGATACTTTCACAAGCGCGTGCCAGAAGCAACATGAAGCAAGATGGGCGTAGCATGACAACACAGAGGGATCATGGCTTGCTCCTTGGAGCTGCCTCTGAGAGGCATGGTTGCAGCACTACATTGGGATAATGGAAAATAGAATGGAAACTACCGTAGTATATTGGGGGGTATATTGCGACAATGGAAAATAAAATGCAAACTACTACCAGTCTGTCATGAAACTACTGTAGCTGGACATCTCTCATGCAAATCAAAGTCAGTGCCAGATAGCGCCAGTTGTTTGGGAAGCAGCTAATTGCCAGGCCGGGGATTTGTTGCAAAGCCTCAACATGCACGGGTGTGACAATGCCTTATGCGTGTCAAGTGCAGACAGGGGGTGTCCTGAACAATGAGGTATGGCGTTTGTTGTGGCAAGTGCTTTTGATCATAGAATTGCAGGTATGGAGTGGGCCGAGATTGTTTGCAGGCCCTCCTGCCTCTCTGATGCAAAATTTGGCGCGCCTCTCGTCACGGGCTTTGGCTGAATAGACGAAGTCGGAGCTTCTCACAGATATCACAGATGCGCGCAGCAGAGACTCCACCTGCGGCTGCTTGCATTGGACCGCTTCTCTGGAGTGCTCGGCAGGCGAGACATATTTCCTTACAAGCCGGCTCCATCTCAAGCTCAGCAATTGCTTCGGACTCCGACTATGCAAGCGCTCCATCGGGTACATGCGGTATCTGTATCAAGTCAATCTTGGGGATGGGTCTTCAAGGCGCATCGCAGTTGCAGGTGTTGGCTCATGGATGGTACTAGGCTCTTGGACGGCCCTGGCATGCCCTGATTGATTTCCTGTAGGGCGTAGGTAGTCTGCCAAGAAGATGTACCTTTCCAGCTCTGGACAGAGCACGGAAAGGTCTCCAAACCTTTGGTTGGAACTCCTTGTCTTCCCAGGCACCCCATGGGTGAGTCAAGTCCAACAGTCATAGTGATAGTCTAGGGGGCTTGTCACAGGAGGTCTGCCCAAGGCCTGTGACACGCCCAATGTTTCCAAGTAGTGTAGCGGAATTGCACTTGCAAATGGTGTGGCACAAGCACAGAGGATGCTGAGAGCTCTTTGTTTTGCAGACCGGACATCTTTCCTGCCGTCTCATGAGTGAGTTCTCAACCAGCGCTGGAAGGCGTGAATTAGGTCCAACTAGAAATGGAGTTTGGTTTGCGAGAGGGGCAGCAGCCATGTTAGAGGAAGGCAAAATTCCGGGATGTGAAGCTGGAATAAGCGGTAGGGTAGACCTTGTTGGGCAATTGCAGCTGAAACAGCGTGGACTGCATTGAGACGGTAGGCTGTGATGAGGAAGTACATTTTAGCCTAACTGTTCTTCCCAACTGGCCTCCTTCAAAGCCCCCCAAATCACGGCCACGGCGGCAAACTTGTTATGAGGGAAATTGCTCTCACAAGCTCATCAGGTTTCCAACACCTCTCTGATCTTGCACCTTTTTCTACTTAGCTCGGGCATCTGTAGTAGGCTTGCTACAGTAAACTTAAAGTCCAATTTCCATCTGAGCTCTGTTTCAGACTAGATTCGTGTCGGCATAGATGTGGTCACCCACGTACATCACCTGACAGCAAGAAGAACGATGGCTGCCGAACTATGGCTTTGTCCCTTGATCTTGTCTTATCTCCTGGCAACTGCCTCCTGGCCGCCATGCCCAAAGCAGCCCTCAACCATTCTCGCATTGCCACCGCAATACACGTGGCCGACCTGACAAGTTACAGAAAGCCCCTCGGAGCGCACCAACGGATTATTGCAGATGCACCGCCTCCATCTTTGACCGAGGTGTGGAATGCGTTAACCCCCGCTCCTGATGGACACATCACTGCCACTAGTCACTAGGCTAGCCACCAAAGGACACAGCAACCCGTGGTGCATCGCATCACACTTCACCACAAAGACTCCTCGTCAACAACCTCCCACAAAGGAAGTTGAAGAGTCCAGAAGTCTGGCTTCCTTGCGTTTGTGATCACCTCGCACATGCCAGCTAGCAATGGCTGAATTACAGCAGCCTCTTGCTTCCTCTGAAAGTCCAATTGATACCAAGCGGCCACATCGAAAAGTGCTCGCCATGTGAGGCCACTCCTATTACTTGTGCAAGACAAACAAAGAAGAGTGAGTTCACTCCACTTGAGAAACGGAAATCTTAGGTCATGCTGCGTCAAGCAGCTTCATGTTGGCAGATCCCCCTGAGAGTAGGACGGCAGAAAGCGATCATACGCATAGCTCATCATCCTGGCGTGAAGGAGCATTGTTTGGCCCGCAGCTGCAACCCCCAATTTCGCAATGAATCAGGATACGCCTCTGGGTATATTCCCAATCGTTGTTTGTGATAAGCACCTGGGAAGTGCTAAACATGCAAATGCAGGGCAGGGATGTGCAACACGAACATGTTCCCATGTGCTGAGGTCGTCCAGGTGCTGGGCGAGATTCTTGCCAGCTAACTTCTGGTCGAGGAGGGCGATAGGCTAAGTAAGCTGCTCTTTCAATTGACAGAAACTTGCAGGATTGGCATTCAAGCTTGAAACTGAGGAAGTGACTGCTTCAGAATCTAGCTGCACATACTCAGATGGATCCTGATCGTGTTACGGTCAGACTGCGGTCGTGCTTCAGGTTGTTCAGGGCCCAGGAGCATGCTTGCAGGTCCTTCAAGATCTGTTCCTTCAAAACGCCGGTTACGTGCGCCTCCGAGACAGCCGCGCGGACGGTGCGAGCCTGCAATCCGAGAAGCATTGGATCCGCCCTGACAGCCAAGCAAGTAGGATGCCCTGAGACCCTAAGACCCTCACCAGCTGCGCATAGTCCAAATGGAGAGGGGGGCTGTCCTCGCTTCTCGGGCACATGCAAGTATTAAATGATGTGAACAGCTCGGCACACGCAAACTCCACTTGGCCAGCCTGTGACAAAGATCCATCTGCCCTCTCCACGAGTTGCGCAAACAAACAACCACTCGCGACCTCGGCAGCGCCGCCGATAGGGATGTGAAGGCGAAGTTTTTGTGCAAGAACGGAGGCCCGCACAGAAAACAAAGTGTTAATGAAGCTCCAGCGCCTTAGCAGGTGAGTGCCGTATATCCATGCTGCAGATTGAGATGCGGCCTTGCACTTTGCTAAGTGATCTGGAACCAATTTCAATTCTCCTTGGACGTCTGCTTAGGGCGTGACGACTCTCGCAGATCAACGCGGCATCTCTGGCGGCCGTACCTGAGAGGCAGAGAGGGATGCAGCAATCTGACTCGCAGGTTGGCGCGCTTTCCCTGTCCGAGACTTCAGCAATTTGTTTACGTGATTCTCGCTGAGCATTTTCATGCCGTGGAGGGCCTGCTTCATATGCTGTAGGGAATGCTGTTGACAAGGCAAAATCTGGCTGACATGCTGGTGGCTACGCGTGCCTTCCGCACATATCCGTAGCGGTCGACCTTGACCTTGCCCAGCCAAGCGTTGTGCTTGATTGACCATGGGCGCAAGCGTCTAGAGGTGCGACGGCTTTGGACTTTTGTTGCACTGAGCCCTTGGAGGCAAAGGTAAGGGCAATGTTGCCCAGTTTAGAGTCGATAACCAAGCCACCTCATTGACAAAGATGACGCTGCCACATGCGCATCAAAAGCAGATTTCATGAGGTGCTTGATCTTCATGCTCATTGGCAAGTCTGAAGTGCCGAGGCGCGGATGATGAGATCTGGATCAAATTCCAAGCCCTGCGCGGGGGTTCTTTCTCTCGGCGCATGGATATGATGTAATTCCGACCCCGGCCTCCACATCGAAACCTGGCCACGCACGTTATCAGCAGTCATCTATGCAGCATCTATCATGTGCCGGTGCTCGCTCGGGCCACCCTTCTTTCTGAGGATCTCCTTGCTCTGTGTGTACACGGCACCCTCCCAGGCCTGCAATTTTTGTCAATATTTGTCAGTGCCAATTCTCACAGCGCAAGCCAGCAGCTTGGAACAGTCACTGTTGTCACATTCAAAGTATGATTTCCTAGTTTCCCAGTGCTCACAGGCTGCGTTCCTCCCAAACCTATTCCAGCCGGCACAGAAAAAATGCCGTCAGAAAACGGAAACCTTGCCCTTGGAGCCTCCACACGGTAGTGCACCAGAGTATAGTCCAAGTCGTAGCCGATGACCTATGCCGAACTTGTGAATTTTTTGTGTGCAGACTCAGCACTTGAAGGTCAGACGTGAGCCTGAACACCATCCATCTCCACTTCACGGGATGCAAAGACGCGCCGAGTTGGCTGGACCCAACTCCTGGCCTTCATGCAGACACACCAATCGCAACATTGCAGATGGCAAGAGACTTGGTCTCGAACACCAGCTCTAAGAGTCTGGCAGTAGTTCGGGAGCGCTGCGGTGTCTTGCGAAGACAACTTGGAACTGCCTTGGGGCCCGCCGACACAAGCACGTAGAGGCACTGCGCGTCAATTGTTCCATCTAGGCACCTGGCAGCAAGAGCAGCAGCCCAGCATGGCTTGGTAACCTTGGCAGAAAAAACAGCAGCAGGCGAGCTCTGCAAGCCTGAAAGGCTCTGGCAAGGTGCAGTGAGGCCGAGCCATTCTCATGAGCGGGCCTTCGTGAAGAGGATGCTGAAGTGCTACCCTGCAAGCAAGTCGCTGTGCTGGTCGGTGTTTACCAATATGAGCACTTAGGCCATGGCTGTGAGGGCAGCTAAGCTTCCTGCCCTGGCACCGCCGGAGATCAGAGTAAGCCAAACAAGCTACAAGGATCTCTAGGTGCCGCTGGCCTTTCCAAGCTGTGTGCTTGGGGAGCCACGGGTGACAACATGGGCACCTGCTACCGCTAGCTCTTCAGAGAGCAACAGCCATTCCAAACATCCTGACCTTTTGATGCTGCGCATTCCTCCCACGAACTCAGAAGACGAAGCTCTGCTGTAAGGAGACCCACCAGTGGCAGGTTTCTTGCCAGTTGGTGGAGCTCTCTTGCGAGCGTCAACGCTTGATGGCTGACATGCGTTGCTTCGTATGACTCCTGTACAACCTGTACATGTGTCGCGTGCAACTGTTGGCCTTTGGTCATCCTCAAGCATCAGCTTCTGGTATCTTGACATGCCCTCCGCCACAGGCGCAACACATCCTGCTGGCACGAAATGCTCCAGTGTCCCAATCGCCTTGGTATGGGGAAAAGTACAAGGCAGAGACAGGTGCATGACACATCTAATTTCAAGGCAAGCTTCCACATTCTGGAGCAGTGCGCTCGTCGTAGTAGTCACAGTGGTGTCCTTGAGCATCGTGCTCATCGCCTGACAATTGCTTTCCCCAGCACAGCTATGATTGCATCCTGAGCAGGGAAATGATGGCAAATGCCCAGCCACCTTCCGTATCTATACAAGGAGGTTTGCAGCAAGTTTGCGCATCGGATCCGATGATGCCTGCAGCAGTGGCTCAGGGTTTGACTAGCCAAGTTAACCAATGCAAGCTAGTATGGTGCTTCGACAAGTCAACCAGCCTGCTGCTCCAAACTTCTTATGATATCCCTCCGGACATTGAAATACATCGCAAGCCTCCATCTTTGCAAAGACTTTCCTTGTCGCAGGAAACGAGGACTAGAGAACCTACGAGTAGGATCTCACAAGGCCAAGGTGATCCAAGGTGCAGCACTTTGAGCTTGTCGCTGAGCTCCGCCCTCTTCTGAGGGTGCACCTGCAGGCCCATGGCCAAGCAGGTTGCGGGCGACAGTGGAACTGAAAGGCCTTGCCCTGCAAAATCTTCATCACACGCGCAATTTCATCTGCAGCATAGCTGGCTCCTTGGGCCAGGCATTTCTCCATGATCTTGACATACCTTGCAGGCGCGTCTGTACGCATCCGTTTCGTTGCATGCGGCCTGGAAGCTGCGCTTCAGGCAGGCAAGCTGCAGCCAAGTCACATGGGCGCTTTCGCATCATTCGTATACTTGCGCTCGAGTTCCTTCGCTTTCTCTATATGCCTGACAGCATATTGCCAAAAATGACCCTGAGCCATGGAGCGAAAGCAAATGCCCCACAATGGAGCCTGGCACTGGGTTCGCTCAGGAAATCATTCACAACTTCATCCAGCTCATCGATGGTGTCAATGGACGGCATCAATATACCGCGTGAGCGACTGAACAGAGCCAGGAGATCATTTGAACATTCAGGAGCGCTGTGCCGGCAAAAGCGCATATTTTGTGGTTGATATATGAGCTATAGTCTAAACTCCTAGTATCCCCCTTAGTAACCCCTAAACACTCCTCTACAGAATCCCGTGTATAGCCCCCTTTACGGAGTTTAGACTACAGCGCACATGCTGGCATGAACCGGAGAATCGCACCGGGAACCTTTATCCTGCCAAGCCACAGCCATTTGATCATATTGGCTGCTTGAGCTGCGTCTGTATATCGGACTCCGTCTGTGCTGCCATCCTGAGAGCTCCACTACGAACCTATCAAAGTGCAAAAGCAAGGCTTAATGGTTGTTAGTGGGGAACATACTCCCTGTATATTCCCCATAGGATATGTTCCCTTATTCCCTACTGTAACCACACCCTATCATAATGTAGTAGTTTCCATGTTCTTTTCCACCATCCCTCTATTCCCAACTAACTACTAACCTTTTTCCCATCTGGGCTCCATGGACTGCCAGAATCCCTCACCCTTACTAACCCTAAATCCTATGGAATATAGTCCAACATTCCCTACTAAACCCCAGGAAAACTTGGAGCACTCTGCAAGCCAAGGCGTCCGTAAACAGATAGAAAGCGGGGAAGTCTTTCAAGGTGAGGTTGAACCTCTCTCTCACCTGGATCCGCTTCAACATGTCTAAGGGTTTAGACACGCGCGTCGCACAAGGCAGGCACGGCAAAGAACGTCTGTCCGGTCTCAACTCCAGCACATTGGCCAGCAACTACCACTTGCAGAAGACTCAGCCACAGTCACCCTCCAAAACCCTAAACACCCAATGCTTCCCTATTCCTACACAGCAGCAGCTTGCCCTCAGTACACGCGGAGGTCCACAGCATCCAAGGCACAAAGGTGCACCATTTGGCAGGTTGCAGTTGTCAGTCACATCCAACAATTGCGAACATCATTCATGCCACATGCATCACAAATTCCAAATTGTTTAGGGTCTAGGGTTTTGAATATGTTTGAGGGCTTGCCTGCAGCCTCGCCACATCATCGTTCTCTTTCTGATTGAAGCGCTGCACGGGCACTTCAGCGGCAAAGAAATTTGGCACAGCGTACGCAAGCTGGCAAATCATTCTGAACATGTCGCCTTTCCTTGAGATGGAATGGGCTACAATTGGCCGGAACAGGAAAGCAAGAAAACTCTGAGTGAATCTGCAAATCAAATGCAGGCAGGATGCTCACCTAAGTCCAACCATGTCAGTCAATGAAAAGTGTTGCGACTGCTCAACTCTGTCTGAATGCAGATCGGTTGCCGCGCGAGTATGGCTCGTCAATCCTACGACGGATGTGAGATGATCAGTGTTTGAACCAACATGGAATATATGGAATAGCTCGATTCGGGGAGCTGTTGCGACTGCTGCGGCCTAGAAGCTTCACAAGAAAGCTCTGGCCAGGGACCGAGAGCATCTTGTCCATGGTCATAGAATCCAACTTCAAGCATCCATGCGTCAGGCCGCTTGCTACTCCTGTCAGAGTCCACAAGGATCCGGCTTCGCAAATAATGCCGGGCACATACACTCAGGCTTGCGGGCCTAGTAGCAGGGCTATGCACACCTTGAGTGCAACGGTTCAACACCATGCAAGCGCAACACATGCATGCTCATGTCTGCAGGACAAGCAGCGCCGCGTCCAATAAGCGACACCATGGCTTGACTTTGATCCAGAATTCCGGAGCGGAGCAAGGAAATTGAAGAATTGCTGCTCAAACCGCACTGCAATCACGCTCGATCACAAGTTGACCGACGGAAGAGAAGAGAAGCCTGCCTGGGACCTCCCTCAACGGGAAGGCCAGATTGAAAAACAGCTCTGGCTTCGAACCACAAGAATGATGCAGTTCCGAACCAAGAAGGTCGCAGATCCAACCAGAGTTTGGCTTTTCAAGGAAGTGCGATGCAGCAACCAGCCTTCTTGCTCCTTGCGCGACGTTTACAGACTGGTGAAGTCTTTCCTTTGACTGGGCCTGCATGTCATGACTGTGAGTGATCTGCCATAATGTATTTCGCAACTCTCCTTGTCACTCTTGGGGATCTACTAGGGGCTTCATCACTGGTGCACGCAGGCCACGGCCAAATGGAAATGGAGGCTATGCAACGATGACCAGGTACTTCATCAGTATCTTGCACGGAGCTGCTGCACAGCCCATCTGGGCCGTCGGAGAGCCGTTCAATGATCGCTGGGCAGCTGTTGCGAGTCAAAGGTCACAAAAGCTTGTCCCCGCTAATCAGAACTCGCTACACCCAAGTTGGCAGCGACTTAGCCACTGCCCCGGGCCGCCTGCACTCTGATGGGCAAATCAGCCGCATGTTGCAAGAGTCATGGAAATAGGCGCGCAGGGTTAAAAGCCATGTGCGCAAGCCACCAAAGTGACCAAGGTTGCGAACCTGCGCTCAAATGCGGCTCGCATCATCAAGGCGTTGAACACATGCAGCGATCCTGGTTGTATTTATGTATGCTTTGTCTGTATGAGCTTAGGTAGCAGTGTCTGCCCACAAGCTGGGCCACAGGTTTGCTGCACGTCCGAATTCCAGCGCCTTGAAAAATTGCAAATCATGTCCTGAGCCATGCAGGCGTCAGACAAACGAATACCAGCTAGCGCTACAAAAGAGGATTTGCACAGGTGTTCGTGCTGAGCGACGATGCTGCTTTACCCGCTTCGCTACAAGCAGCATGATTTCAGTGCTACGTAGCTATGAACTTTTCACTTACCACTGCACCGAAATGCAAGAGGATATTTGAGCAGTTAGCTGGCATGAATTCAGGGACTTCTTATCCCTGTCTGCCATTTATACAATCACGGACATGAGATTCAGAGCTTTCGCCCATCCCAATAGAAATTCTGAAGGGCATGCCCAGAAACAGCTTCGGTGGGGCAAGTGGCTTGCATGAAAATGCAAGTATTGCAGATTCAGTCTACGGAGATCTGGGCTTGCCCATCTTGGAATAACAACAAGAAACTTCCGGCACGTCCTGTTCCACAACAAGGACGGCATTTGCACGCAGGCAGCTGCTCAGCCATCGCTGGCAACAAATGGCCAAGGGCGTCAGCGGTGACAGGAAAACCTGTTTGCAACCTGCGATGCCGAAAGTCTTTGTTGATAGGGAGAATTCATCCGCACTGTGGCATGGTTTGGAAAACGTTCGTCACCCAACCACAAGTGCAGCACCTGTACAAATACAAAGATTGCATACAGTCTCGGGCGCTGCTTAGCTTCAGTGCCTTCTTGCCAGGCTTCGGGCATAGTCCTCGATGAATGATGCTGTGCTCTTGTTTGGACCATGCCCGGATTGGTTTACGGCCGCATAACGATGCGAAGGCCATGTGATCGCGATTCGTTGGCTACAGGCTGCAGCATGGCATCTAGGAAGGGCCACCTACCAAATAGTCTTGCTGTAAGACTCTAAGAAGACTGCAAGCGTCGGTCCCCTCCTATCAATGCCACGCGCTGTGCCGCAGAAGCTTTGCTACAAGCAGAACTTTGCGACCAGGCATCCTGTCTCTTTATGCAAGCCATGACTTGCCTGTGCTACTTCGCGAGGATCATATAGCGTATCCGTGGGGCAAACTTGCATAAGGCCAATTCGAATGGGGCAATCCACATCAAGCACACTAAGAAAAAGCGGGCCAAATGGCCGGCGGCTCACTCAAGGGCCTGAGCACGACTAGGGGCCAGGCTAGTCCTTCAGGCGCTTCCAAAAAAACTGAGCCTCGAGCACTGGTTGACACTGCTTTTGAAGACATTCGATTGAATGGCACAGCCCACTGTGCGGAGGGTGCTCTATGCGCAGAATGGAACGAGGAGAAAAAACAACTACGACATAAAACAAATCTTGCAGGCAGCAGTGGTTTTGCTGCCGTAGATCTGCGTCAGGCACTGCCTGCAGCGAGAGAGAGAGACAGAGAGAGAGAGAGGAAGTTTCCCGCTAAACCGTGGTCAAAAATGCATGTTTAGATTGGAGTATGTTTCGGGGGCATGTTTCGGGGTATGTTTTGGGGTATGTTTCGTGGCACGTTTCGGGGTATGTTTCGTAGTGCTGGGCTTTTGAAAGGGACGTTGTTGGGGTATGCGTTGGGGTATGTATTGAGGTATGTCTCGGGGTCTGTATCGGAGGGGTCAAACATGCGCCTTTTCATGAACTCCTGACCCCCAATTAATGGAAAAACCCAGAGAGCAAAACTGCCCAAACTGAGGCGCAAAGCTCTGGAATTCCTGTAACCGTAACCCTAGCCAGCCAGTCTGCAGCCTTCAATCAAGCGTACGAAGTCAGCACCTAAGCTTAACAGTGCATGGTAGTACCAATCGTCGGCTGGAGGCAATCAACCCTTCCTTGAGGATCCCGCAGGAGCCCTTGTCATGCCTTAGCCGCACAGTTGCATCGCGGCGGGTTACTATCAAAATCCTACCCAATGGAGTAAGTAGAATTTCGGCTGAAGAAATCAGCTGGTTTGGATGCTCCAGATAGCAAAGCGCGACGGGGCGACTGGAGGTGACCGGCGGCTCAGGGTGACTGAAGAGGAAAAACGTGAGTGCGAACAGACTCAGGCTCTGCAGATTGAAGATTCGTTGGGCCGACAACCGAGGCGCCGGAAAATGCTGCGTTATGCCCCATCCTCTCTGGGGCCGTGGCTCGGAAACTGCCAAATCCATAAAGCCCCTCGGTCGCAAATCATGTCTTTAGGGTTTTAGGGTTTAGGGTCTTGCAGGATTCCGGGGATGCTTCCAAGCCCAAGCTAACGCTACTTCTAGTCGAAAGCAAAACTTGTTTTTCCGCATTGAGGCGATGGTGAGACAAGCGGTACAGCTGGGTCAAGCATCTCATGGTCTCGCGCACGTTGGGCTAAGGTGCCTTTGCACCTGAGCCGCGCAAGGTTTTATACATCCCAACAAACCCTGTATTATGTCAATGACATTTTCTATGTGAGTACATGCTGGCTCCAAATAGCCCCTATTCCGATAGGCAGCGCAGAGACACATTCATAGGAAATAAAATGCTAAACCCTAAAGCCTGCAAACCCTCAACCCCTAAACCCTATATAACCCCATCCATTACATAAGTTTCATGTGGTTTCCATGTTTCTTTTCCAATATCCCAATACTTCGAACAGCAAAGCAGCACACGATGTCATTCAGCCCGGAGGCTGATGAGCGGTTCATCCTCGCCGTTGATCATTTCTTCCGAATCGTTTGGATCCAGCTTGAGCGGCAACTTAGATGAAGAACGCCAAAGAGGATGTAGGGCTTGTGCCACTTGCATGGCTATACGGAATTCAAGGTTTACGTCTGGGGCTTAGGATTTAGGATTTAAGATTCCGGATTTGTTGGCTTTCATGTTTTGAAGTAGCTGCAACTTCTGCCAAGCCACAAGGAACAAGCAGTTGAGCACGTAGCCGCCTTCTTGCAGGATGGTCTGATTTCGCGATGATCTGAATTCTTTGAATCAAAAAGAAATCGTGGGCTTGTGGTGCAAAATACTCTCCATCTTTGTGCGCTGAAGCAACAGGAAGTTTTGAGAAGGTTGGCATTGATGAGATTCGGGCAAAAGGCTGGACAAGGCCAGGCAGCAACTTTTTTGCGTTTTATTCAAATGTTCAGTACTTCTCGACAAGCGTGCTTGAGGGACTCAGTGGTTGTTCAAAGCGTTTCCTGGTTAGCCATCCAAGCGTTTGCAGTTGTTCAGGAAACGCTAGGCGATGGCCCCTTGGAGCCAGCTTGGGGCCTTCGGGTCCTTTTGTAAACCTTAGACCCTCAGCCCTAAGCCCTATATACCCCTTCCATTTTCTGTTCCATTATCCCTATAACCCCTACATTACCCCCCCCACAACCCTATATGCCCTTTTGGACGACTAACATGTCTTGGTTGGACAGCCCAGGTCAGCCTGCCAGGCAGAAGAAGAAGGGCTCCCAACCTCGGCTGCCACAATGACTTGAAGAAGACAGGGTAGCTTCCCTAAATTAGGGGGACCCAGATATGTAGACACCCAAAACACTAGAATCTTTATTATGGGACTCCCTAAAATGGTACTCCTAATTTTGGGAAAACCCCCATATTGAGTTTCTCTCTTGCTATCTGGCTGGCAGCCTCTCACCGTCGACACAACTCATTTCTTCATAAGTCTGACCCAGTGCTTCAGAAGCACGTCCGGTGAAATCTCGCAGCAACTCGAAAATGAGCGGTGCCACAATGCCACCAACGCGGCCCGCTGCCTGGCAAGTCGCCTCAGCATCGAGATGCAAGCGGTGCTTCTTGAACTTGCACAAGCTTTGCGCATACTCTTGCAAGACTGACCCTCTAACACGAACATGTTACTCCATGCTGCCTTCGTCAGCCAAGCCGCAACCCCAGTGGTTCGAGCCTCACATGGGAACACTACGGAAGCCAGCGTGTAGGCAGCGACCTCAGTCCAGCAAGCAATGTCCGGATGT